AACGACTGCAACAATGAGGGGAGCAGCAGCAACACCAGCAGCAGCAACACCAGCAGCAGCAACACCAGCAGCAGCAACACCAGCAGCTGTAGCGACACTGGCTGCCTGTTCAGCTACAAGATGAGAAGCTGCCGCCGCACGCTCACAGGCAGGCTCTTCAGGAGAGCTTCTGCCTCACACCGCTGCTGCTGCTGTTGTTGCTGTTGCTGCTGCTGCAGGTGATGCAGCAGCATGCTGCCGTTCAAAGAGTTGTCCACAGTAGGATCGACAGGCTCAGGTTTGGGCGCTACATCGTGCCCTGCAGCAGCAGCAGCCGCTGCGGCTGCTGCTGCTGCTTCCCTGTGTTTCTGAGGTCCCGCAAGGAGCAACAGCTCCACAAATGCTGACTGCAGCATCGGCAAGAGAGCCAAACTCAAGTCAAGAAGCTGCTGCTGCTGCTGCTGCTGCATATCATTGCTCTGCACCTGCTGCTGCTGCTGCTGTATATCTTGACGCTGCTGCTGCTGCTGCTGTTGCTGCTGCATCTCTTGACTATGCTGCTGCTTCTGCTGCTGCTGGCCTTGGTTGTGCTGCTGCTGCTGCTGCTGCTCCTCGATGGGAAGGTGGACTGCAGCACGCGCCTCCTCCTGGAGCATGCCGGGGCTACTGCAGCAACAGAGGCACATTATGTCGCTGCTGCAGCTGCTGTGCTGCTGCTGCACCTGCTGCTGCAGCAGCAGCAGCAACTTGAATGCACGGCTGAAGTTTCCCAGCCGCAGACTTGCGGCGAAGCCTCGAGCCCAGGTGGCCGTACACGTTAATTGCTGTTGTTCCTTCGATTCTTGCTGCTGCACTTGCTGCTGCTGTTGCTGGTGTTGCTGGAACGTCTGCTGCAAGCTCGTTACCAAGGTGAGAACAGCCCCAGTGTTGCTGCTGGCGGTGCTAACTGCAGCAGCACCAGCTGCTGCAGCAAGCAGCAGCCTACAAGACAGAGTGTGCTGCAGCAGCTGGCGATCACCTGCCCCAGCAGCAGCAGCAGTATGATCTTCTGCCGTTGTTTCTGGCGTTGCTGCTGCCGATGCCAACCGCTGCAGCAACCGTTCTAATGCTGCGCAACAAACAGTAGCCTCCGATGTGTCGGCTGCTGCTGCCGCTGCTGCAAGGTTCTGCAGTAGCAACTGCAGCAGAAACCTATCCGCCTCTGTTTGCTGGCATCTAACTGAAGCAGCGGACGCAACAGCTGCAGCTTCTGCCGCGGTAGCAGCAGGTGCAGCAGCAGTAGCAGCTGCAGCTGCTGGTGCAGCGGTAGCAGGAACTGGGGCAGCAATGTGCACAGCTGCAGCAGATTGTTCTGCTACATGCGAAGAGGCATCAGGGGCCCTCTCTGCTTCTGTCGCTTCTCCTGTTTCTGCTTCGTCTGCGGCTTCTGGTTCTGCTGCTACTGCTGTTGCTGTCGCTGCTGCTGCTTCTGCTGCTGCAAGCCTGCGTCGCTGGACGAGGCAGCACTGCCGCAACGCCCGAAACTCCTCCTGAGCTGAGTCCCGCCACAGGTGCCTCCATGCTTCTTGCTGCTGCCTGCGCTGCAGCAGCAGCAGCCGGGCCCTGCACAACTTTCCCCCCAAGCAGCAGCAGCTGCTGCTGCTGCTGCTGTTGCTGCTGCTACTGCTGCTGCCATTGCTGCTGCTATTGCTGCTGCTGTTGCCGCAGCCACATATGCGCTGCTGCTGATCCTTGATGCTGCACTTGTGTATAGGCGGACTTCCTTCTGGCTGCTGTTTCTGTTGTTGTTGCTGCTGCTGCTGTTGCTGCAGTTTGTGAAGCCTCTGCTGCAGCTCCTGTAGGCTGACTGCGCTGCTCATCTCGTTAGGGGCCCTACAGAAAATAGGCCCCTTCCCCCATTCTCGGTGCAGCCGTTGCTGCCGCCGCTGCAGCTCCTCAGCGTCTGCTGCCAGCTCAAATGCCTGCTGCTGCTGCTGTTGTTGTTGTTTCTGCTGCCACTGCTGTTGCTGCTGCTGCCACAGCTGCTCCTGTTTCTGCTGGCGACGCATGCGGGCCGTCGCCCGCTGCTCCACCGGTAGGGGCGGAGTCACCTGTTCCAGCAACACCTGCTGTTGTTGCTGCAGCGGCAGCAGCAGCAGCTGCTGCTGTTCATCTGCTTCGCTGCTCTCGCGGGATGTGCAAGTATCTTCCACAGGGTCTATCAATGGGTTTAGCAACTTCGCCATTTCTTTCTGCTGCAACTTCTGCTGCTCCTGCTGCCGCTTCCCTTGCTGCTGCTGTTGCTGCTGCTCTTCCTGCTGCTGTTGTTGCTCCTGCTGCTGGTGCTGCTGGTGCTGCTTGCATTTGCTGCTGTCGCGAGGTGAAAAGTCTTCTTTGTTGTTGCCGCCTCCCGAGGGTAGCCTTGAAGAACACTTGTTCTGCTGCTGGTGTTGCTGTTGCTCCTGTTGCTGTTCTTGCTGCTGTTGCTCTTGCTCTGCCTCTATGTGCTGCTGCAAATAAAGTGAGGGAGCCTCTGTGAAGCAGAGGCCTTGCGTGGTTGAGTTTAAGTCGTCTGGAGATACAGCAGCGCTGCTGCTGCAGGTGATGTTGTTGCTGCTGCCAGATGTCCGCTTCTTCTTGCTACTGTTGCCGTCGTTGATGCTGTGGCTACGCATCTCGCTAGACCTGCGGATGCTGCTGAGCTGCTGCGCCTTCGTGCTGCAGCAAAGAGGCTGTGCAGCTGCCAAGCGCCTAGCCAGCAGCAAACGACGGCGGCCGCAACAACCCAACACCAAAGACCGTCGGTGCATCTGTTGCTGCTGTTGCTGCTGCTTTTGTGTTCGTAGTGGCTGCCGTTGTTGTTGCTGCTCTCGTTGCTGCGGATGTTGCAGCACAGGCAACTCGACAGCGTTGCGCTTCGAGGAAAAGCCTGTGATATGTTTGCTGCAGCTGAATCCACGACTGCTGCTGCTGCTGTTGCTGCTGCTGTTGCTGGTGGAGCTGCTGCTGCTGCCATTTGGGGGCTGCGTGAGCGGCAGCAGGTTCGGCGGCGCCGTACATTTTCTGTTGCAACTGCTGCTGTGTTTGCTGCGCTGTTGCCTAGCGAGCCACTGCACGATGCGAAGCTTGTGTCGTGAGGCTGGCATTTGCTACTGCTGCTGCTGCTGCTGGTCGTGGGCCGCTGTTGCTGCTGCCCGTGAGCGCTTGCTGCTTCCTCTGCTGGGGATGCCCCGAGGCACTTTTCATCAGCGTTTGTGGCGCAGCAGCAATGGCTTCAGCAGCAGCTTATGATGCGTGTATCGCTTCTCTTCCACCTCTGCAGCAGCGCGAGCAGCAACAGCAGCAGCAGCGGCAGCGGCACCAGCAGCAGCAGAGCCTGTAGAACTCCCCGAATGACGTTGCTTGAGTAATATACACATTATAATTCATGAGAAATCACATATTTCGAATCCATCTGCTTCTTGGAGGGGGCACGGGCCCTGGGGGCCCCCTTGGGGGCCCCTCCGGGGGCCCCACTGGGGGCCCCACTGGGGGCCCCTCGCGGGCCCCATTGAGGGCCCCTCTGGGGGGTCACTCTAGGGGTCCCTCTGGGGGCCCCATTGAGGGCCCCTCTGGGAGGCCCTCTGGGGGACCCTCTTGGCGCCTTAGTGTGGGCCCCAGTGGGGGCCCCAACGGGGGCCCCTGTTCTTCTTTCTGTCTTCTGTGCAATGCATGCTACTGAAGCAGCTTAAAGGCGAAGAGCAGGGTTTAATGGGTTATATCAGTATGCATTTTAATCAAATAGCCGGGTGTATGCACAGTTGTGAGGAGACACCCTATAAAAGAGAAGACAAAATTGAGAAAAAAAAAACAAGTGTACGGGGAAAAAAGGAAAAATAAACGCCAAAGGCCCCCTAACAAATACAAGAAATGACAGTACTCACAAGTGCAACAGCAAGGCATAGTGCTGCATACGACTGCTGCTGCGGCAGCTGCCGGTGTTGCTGCTGGCGCTACCTGTGTTGCTGCTGCTGCTGCGGCGGATGTTGCTGCTGCTGCGGTGTGGGTGCTGGCCTTGGAACTGCAGCAGCTGCGGCAGCAACGCGTGCATGCAAACCGCTAAAGCTCTTCGCTGCTAGAGTTCTCCCTGTAGAAGCCAATCCTTTGTTGATGCAGCAGCAGCTGCTGCATCAAACCCTCTTCCTCTGTTAATTGCAATACAGAAGCAGCGGCCCCACAGGTGCAGCAAAAAAGGCATAGGGCGCAGCAGCAAACTACAGGTCTCTTCAATTGCTTCTCCGTGGCTCCTGTAGCTACCTGGCACCCAGCTGTCTGCGGTTAGCTAGCATCGAGCTGTCTGTAGCTAGCTAGCACCTAGCTGTCTGCAGCTAGCCAGCATGTAGCTGTCTGCAGCTAGCTAACAGCTAGCTGTCCGCAGATAGCTAGCACGTAGCTGACAGCAGCTAGCATCTAGATAGATGCCTGCAGCTAGCTAGCATCTAGGTGTCCGTAGCTAGCTAGCAGCTAGCTTTCCGCAGCTAGCTAGAATCTAGCTGTCTGCAGCTAGCTAGCAGCTAGTTATCAGATGGCTCGCCCTAAGGGCTTTCGCTGCTGGGTCCCAGCTAGCCGCAGTATGTCCCTTTGTTTTCTTTTTGTGTTTGTCATTGTCTCTTCTTTTTCAATCTCACGGTGTTTGCTGTCTCATCTGTTTTCATCTCTGTTTTGTCGCTATCTCCTATTCTCCTTCACGAGTGTAAAAGCCCTTCTAAGCAATGCAACTAGGGTTTAGAGTTTAGGGTTTAGGGGTTTCTCTTAAAAGCCTTCCAGAAGTGAAACCTCGCAGCGACCCATCTGGAAGGCGCAGCAGCAAAGAGCCATCATATCCAAGGCCCTCTAGTATTCCAGTGTATTTCCCGTGTTGCAGCAGCTGCTGTTGCTGTTGTTGTTGCTGCTGTTGCTGCTGCTGCTGCTGCCCGTCCAGCAGCAGAGAGACGCGCTCGCCTGTGTAGGCCAGGTGCTGCGCCACAGCAGCACGCAAAGGAGGGAAGCCTTGCCGCTGCAGCAGCAGCAGCAGCATTCCTAACTGTTCATGCAGCAGGCCTAATACTCTTTCAACAGACAAATCGCTGTTTATAACACTGTCACTGTTGCTGCTGCTGCTGCTGCTACTGTTGCTGGAGGCGAGGAAAAGCGAAGACGGGGGCGGCCACATGGCAAGGTCGGTGCATTGGTGCAGCAGCATTTGTTTTTGTCTCTGTTGCTGCTTGAGCTGCTGCTGCTGCTGCTGCTGCAGTGCCTCTCGCACGTCTGTGCTGCCCTGATAGCAGCAGTCCCCTAGCTGCCCCGTGGGGTGGCTAATTAGATTAAGGCCAATGCCCATCAAAACAACAACATCATCAGGTGCATGAGTTCCTAATCCTGCTGCTGCTGCTGGTGCTGTTGTTCCAGCTCCCGTTCGCCCCGAAGCAGCAGCAGCAGCAGCAGCTAGGTTGCGGTTAGTGTTCTGGCAAAGGACTCCTGCAATTTTCTTGCCATTGACAAGGACGTCATTCACCCACTTTATCTGGGGAGAAGCAACTCCTAGCTGCTGCAGCACGCGCTGCACAGAGAGCGCAGCAACAAAAGGCAGGTGCAGCAGCAGCTGCTGCTGCTGCTGCTTCCACGGCAGCAAATACGTCGCATGCAGGTTCCCCGCTGCAGAGACCCAACGCCGCTCCTCTCCTGTGTCTCCTCTGCGCGTGCCAACCCCAGCAGTCTGCTGCGCTGCAGTAATGCACAGACACCAGCCCCCCTCCCCCTGCTGCTGCTGCTGCTGCTGCAGCAGGTGTAAAGACACCAGCTCGTCTAAATGCCGCTCAGCCCACTTCTGAGTGGAGTCAAGAGAAGGGAACGACAACTCCACTACTCCCAATGATGCCCCACAAACCCTGCGAACCTCCGCAGCTGAAGGAGGCACATCTGCTGCTGTTTCTGTTGCTGCTGCTGTTGTTGTTGCTGCTGCTGCTGCTGTTGGTACTGGTTCTGCTGCAGTGGCAGCTGATGATGGTGCAGATGAGGAAGATGGAGCTGGAGGGGCGGTAGGTGCTGCACGCGTTCTAGCTGCTGCTGCTGCTGCTGCTGCTTTTGCGGTTCTCGATGCCGTCACCGGCGCTGTTGGCATCGTTTGACCGAGCCGCTCGCCAGGGGAAGCCCCTTTAGAGTGCGCTGCACAGACACCGGCTGCTGCTGCTGCTGCTACTGCTGCTGCTGCTGCTGCGTCACGACGCCCTTCAACGAGATTGATTCTATGGCTGGACCTCAGGAAGGAGAAATGCCGCCGGTTTCTAAGGGCCTTGCCGCTCAAGCCAGCCTGTTGCGGGGGTAGCTGTTGCCGCTGCTGGTGCTGCTGTTGCTGCTGTTGCTGCTGTTGCTGCTGCGCTGCGTATAGGCTAAAAAAGGAGCAACACTTCGCTATCGGCCTAGGGGCAGGGACAGTAAACCTGATGCTGCCGCAACTACTAATACTACTACTAGTGCCGCTGCTGCTGCTGCTGCTGGCTCTACGACCCCGGGAGACGAAACTGCAGCAGGCCTTATCAGCGTGTAGCTGCAGCAGCAGAAGAAGCAGCAAGGGCACGGACGGCAGAAGCTTCGTCTTGAAACAACGGCGATGCCGCAGTTCCGTTGTCGCTGCCGTTGCTAAGGCTGTTGTCGTTACTGCTGCTGCTGCTGTTGTTGCTGCGGTTGCTGCTGCTGCTGCTGTTCCTGCTGATTTCCCAAGACGACATCCTCCCTCGCTACGAGACATCAGCTCAAAGCGTCAGTTCATGGCTTGCTGCTGCTGTTGGGTGCAGCCGCTGCAGCAGCAGAAGATGGAGGCGACCGCTGTCTCTGCCGCTCCTGCTGCTGCTTCTGCTGTTGCTGCAGCTCTCCCCATGAAGCTAATGCCTGTAAGCAGCAGCTGCAGCCTAAATGTAACAAGGGTTTAGAAAATGTCTCTTCTGCTAAGCCAGCTATGTAGCCGCAGCCGCTTCTACAGCTGCTGCTACATCTGCTACAGCTGCTGCTGCTGCTGCTGCTGCTGCTGCTGTTGCTGCCCGTGTCGGGGGCTGGTGGGAACCGCCCCCCAGGAAGGGGGGTTGCTCTGCTGCTATGCCTGCTGCAGCGGATCTTAGACTTTAATAAATTGATTAAACCTCCCTTTCCTTTTTCCTTCTAGTTGTAGAAGCCGCAGCAGCAGCAGCAGCATCAGCTTCAGCAGCAACTGCAGCAGCAACCGCAAGGCACGCGGTAAGGGACCGCTGCTCATTGCGTGGAATCTGTTGGTAGCAGCAGCAGCAGCTGCTGCTGCTGCAGAAAGAAGTCTCTTAATACGTTTAGTGAATCTGTCTTCCTCTTTGCTGCTGCAGCATCAGACACATCTTAGCCCCTTCAGCAGCAGCAGCAGCAACAGCAAAAGCTGCTGCTGCAGCTGGTGGTGTTGCTGCTCGGCTTGTACAGCTCAGCAGCGGAAGGAGAAGAACAGCACTCCGCTTATGCCCGATTAACTAACGAAGCTGTGGAAGGGCCTCTCAGCTACAGCGGTAGCGGCAGCGGCAGCAGCAGCAGAGGCAGAAGCAGCGAAATCGCTTGCAGCAAGACAATCCTTCTGAAAGAGGTGCCCGCAATGACGGCTCCCTGCAGCGAAGAGGGTTCTACCGATGCTGTGGCAGTAGCAGATGGAACGCACAGAGGTGCTGCTGCTGCTGCTTCAGGAGACGCAGCTGCAGCAGCACCAGCAGCAATAGATATACCAGCAGATTCAGCAGCAGCAGCAGAAGCAGATTCAAAAGCAGCAGCAGAAGCAGTAGATACAGTAGCCGATTCGGCATCGGCAACACATTCAGCGGCACCAGCAGCAGATGCAACATCAGAGACACCAGCAGATTCAGCAGCAGCAGATACACAAGCGAGTGATGCTGCAGGAAGTCCTCCAAAGCCGGTGAGGCGTAGCAGCACACGTTTGGCTGCTCTGCCGCACGCAGTAACAGCAGCAACAACAAAAGCAGCTGCGGTAGGTGCTGCAAGAACACAATCAGCAGCAGCGGCGGCTGCTCCTGCTGCTGCTCCTGCTGCCGTACCTCGCTGTATGTGCACGGATGACCCCATTGAGGATCTCCTGCAGCAGCATCGGCGCCGTTCGCTGCCATCGCTGCCGCTGCAGCTGCCACTGCGGCTGCTGCTGCCGTATGCAATGCCGCACAGGCCGGGTAAGGCTGCTGCTGCTGCTGCTGCTGCTGATGCTGCTGCCGATGCCGCTGATGCTACTGCTGCTGCTGCTGCTGATGCTGAAACAGCTTCCCACGGAGCACGAAAGAGGTTGAAGACATCACATGCGGCCCCGGAAGGACAGCAGCAAGAGCAGCAAGAGCAGCAACAAGAGCAGCAGCAAGAGCAGCAGCAGCAACGCGAGCAGCAGCACGAGCAAAATCAAGTGAAGCAGCAGCCACAGGAACAGCAGCAAGATAAGAAGCAAGAGCAGCAAGAAGGCCAAGCGCTGCTGCAGCAGAATCAGGAGCAGCAAGGTAACGGGCGGGAGCACACCACGAAGCAGGAACAGCAGCAGGAGAAACTGAAGCAGCAGCAGGACGAAGAAGACAAGCACCAACAGCAGCATCAGAAGCAGCAGCAGCAACAGCAGCAGCAGCAGCAGCCGGGTGTGGTTCTGTACACTGCTTCTCTGCTGCTTGAAGAGGTAACAAGCTTTTGCGAACAGAAAGTCACCCTGGAGTTGCTGCCTCACAGGCTGCAGCCAAGTGCTAGCAAGACCAAGAAGCAGCAGCAGCAGAAGCAGAAGCAGCAGTTCTCCTCTCTTGCTGCTGCGCTCACGTGGCTGCAGCAGCAGCTGCACAGCGAAGGAGCAGTGCTGCCTGCAGCAGCGGGCTGTCTCTGCACCAGCTACAAAGTTGCTTTCGACTGCATGCAGCAAGATCCAGCAGCAGCAGCAACAACAGCAGGAACAGCAGCACCACCACCAACAGCAGCGCCAGCAGCAACGGCAGGAACAGCAGCAGCAACAACCGAAGAGACAGCAGCAGCAGCACCAGCGGAAACAGCAGCAGCAGCACCAGCAGAAACAGCAGAAACAGCATCAGCAGCATCAACGCATGCACCTTGCATCTCAGCTGCCATACTGGAAGCGGCCACACAAGAGGCACAGGAGGCGCTGCAGCTGCTGTCTGTCTTTAAAAGCCTAAAAGCAGCAGCAGCAGCAGGAAAAGGAGATTTTTTGGAGAGATGCGACGCCCCATCATCATCGTCTGCAGCAGCAGCAGCGGCAGCATGGGCCGCAGCAGCAGCTGACCCTCCTCGGTTGCAGCGGTGCAGCAGGCACAGGAGCAGCAGCAGCAGCAGCAGCATGGGCCGCAGCAGCAGTAGCCGGTGCAGCTGCGAAGACGTGCTGCGCGTTGCTGCTGTGGGCAACTGTTGCTGCTGCACGTTAAGCTCTCCATGGGTGTCTTTGTCTGCGTGGCGTTGCTTTCGTGTTGCTTCTCACCCCTCTCTACGGCTGTATGATGTGCTGCTGCTTGCTGCAGCGCAGCGGCGGCTGTTTGCTGCCAGTGACTCCTCACCGGAGCAGCTGCAGCAGCTGATGGAGGCATCTGCTTTAGTTGCGTGCATGGAGCACCAGCAGCAAGACCCTTCCTTGGCGGCAGATGTTGCTGCTGCTGCTGCTGCTGATACCGCCATGCAGTGCGCAGCTGCTGCCGTACGGGAACTCGTCAGCGCCTCGGGCAACAGCAGCACCAGCAGCAGCAGCAGCAGGAGAGTTGCCACATGGCTTGCTGCACCCAATCCCTTTGCAGCAGCAAAACGCGCAAGCCACGGCAGCAGCGGCAGCTGCAACAGGTTGCCACGGCAGCAGCAGCAGCCCACATGCTTGCCGTTCCTGATTGTGCTTCCCGAAGAGGACCTGCTTGGCAACAGCGGGGCAGCAGCAGCAGCAACAGCAGCAGCAGCAGCACAACGAGCCTGGGCCCTGGGGGCTCCTCCTGCTGTCCCTCTCATTTGCGGCAGCACCTTCTACAGTGCGCCCTCAAGGGACAGCAGCAGCAGCAGCAGCGGCAGCAGTAGTTGTTGTTGTAAAGATGGGAGCAACAGTCAAGACGGCAGCAACAAGGACAGCAGCAGCAACAGCGGCAACAGCAGCAGCAGCAGCAAAGGAGCCGAATCACCTCACATCTCAGGAGATTGCGAGGGATTTGTTGCTGCAGCTGCAGGACAGCAGACGCTGCGCTGCTGTTGATATGTGGAGTGCCGCAGCTGCTGCTGCTGCCTCTGTCTCTAATTGTCTCTCTTTTAATAAATTTAACTGTCTCCTTTCATCTAAATGTTTTCAGTGAAGCGGCTGCTGTAGACAAAGGGTCTCTCATTTGCTTCTGTCTCTGTCTCAGCTTGTTTATTGATCTTTTTCTCTCTTTTAGGCTTCGTGCTGTCTCCTCTATATCCCTCTCCTCTGCTGTCTTCTTTCTCTTCCGTGAACTCCTATCTCTCCCTGATGTAGCAACTGTCTCGTTGCTGCCGCTGTCCCCTTGCTGCAGCTGTCTCCTTGCTGCAGCTGTCTTATTTGCTACAGCTGCCTTCCTGCTGTGGCTGCTTACGTGCTGCAGCTATCTCCATGCTGCTGCAGCTGTCTCTTTGCTTTGCTGATATACTGTATAGTATTACAGTATATAATATATAGTATATTATACACAGTATTTATCTGATGTGCAATATATAATATATAATATAAAAGAACAATATTAAGTGTAGTACACATATAATATGTAGGATAATGTGTAGTACAAAATATCAAATATAGCATATATCATATATAGTATATAGTCTGTAGTCTATAGTATAGAAGATAGTATATACAATACATAATATATATGTAATGATTCATAACTTATATGCATATATATATATATATGCATATTTGTATGAGGAGCCAAATGCCATATATCTATTTATATACAATATTTGTAATAAGCATGCCTCAATAATGTTTCTATATACATATATGTATAAATATATATATGTACACACATATATATATATATATATATATATTGATCTGTATATACATATTTTTACTCGTATTTGTTTGGTAAGAAAATTCCAGAGAGAAGACAGAAGGTGGCAGGCTTTCGTAGAGAGTGTGAGTTGGAGTGTATAGGCACTTCAGCAGCACCATTTCTGTGATAATTACATCCGGCTAAAGGCTTGTATATAGTTTGCTGCTGCAGCAGTAGCGCCAGCAGTAGCAGCAGGAACAGCAGCAGCAGCAGCAGCAAGAGCAACAGCAGCAGCAGCGACATCAAAGGCAGCAGAAGGAACAGCAGCTCTGGCAAAAACAGCAGCAGAGATATCAACGGCCGAAGCAGAACAAGAGAAGCAACAACAGCAGCTGGAGCAACAGCAGCAGCAGCAGCAACAACAGCAGCAGCAAGAATAACAACAGCAGCAGACAGTTTGTCTTTCATTCCTTTTCTATTATTCTCCTGCTGCACTGCAACGGGAAACAATCGAAATAAACGCCAACAACACAGAAAAAAATGCTTTAAAGTTAATATCAAAAGGGATTAATAATTGTAATAATAATTAATAATATTAATATAAGCATCTACTGTTCAATATGCAGAAAATTTCCCCTAGGGTCCAATGTTTGCTGCTGCGCGGCCTCGAGGCTTGCCTAGGAGATTTATCTTCTTTTTATTATCCTATTTAAATATTTTATTGATATTCATAGTAGACATATTTGTGTAATTAAAGGCAACAAAACCAAAACACTCTGGGGCCCCTCATTACAGTAAGGGAGGGAAGGGGCCTCAGGCACTCGGAGTCTCCCTGCTGCTGCTGCTGCTCCTGATACAGTAGTTGTTGCTGCTGCTGTTGCTCCTTCCGCTGCTGTTTCTGCTTCTTCTGTTGCTGTTATACTGCTTTCTTTATCATTCACAACGAGAAGAACAGCCCCTTGATGCCGTTCTGTGGAGGGGGGCCCCTGGGGGCCCCCCGTCTCCCGCTTCGGGGGCCCCCACGTTTGCCGTGGTCTCCCCAAATAAGCAGCAGCAGCCGCAGCAGGGGGAGGAGCCTAAGGCATACACAGGCGTGGAGATGGAAGCCTGCACTCTTCCAAGCCTCCGGTGGGGCCCCACAGTCACCAGTGTCTCTTTCTTTTAGTAGCCTCAAGCAGGTAAGAAGCTGCAGTAATGCTGCTGCTGCTGCTGCGGTTGCTGCAGCGCAGGTAGCAGCAGCAGCAACATCAGCCAGAGAAGAGCCATCCGCCGCTGCAGCGGCGCTGCCAACAACACCAGGGGTCGCTGCAAAAGCAGTAACAGAAGCAGTATCAGCAACAGAAGCAACAGAAGCACCAACAACAACAGCAGCAGCAGCTGGAGTCGAAGCAACGCATGTAAACTTGGAGGTGTCTTTATTTCTGAAGCCTCTGTTAGCAGCAACTAGAGGCGGAACAGAACCGCTGGCAGATGCTGCTGCAGTGCATGAGGCTGCTGCTGCTTTTGCTGCTGCAGCAGATGCAGCAGAAAGGGGAGGGCAGCCTTTTCTCTATTGTTATGATATCTCTGACCCCGTCTACTGCAGGCTGCTCAGGCCAGCCATGCCCTCAACCCCAGCAGCAGCAGCAGCTGCTGCTGCTGCAGCTGCTGCTGCAAGTGCGATGCGGCCGCAGCAGCAGCAGCCGCAGCAGCAGCAGGCTTGGAAACACCTCGGGTCGCCGTTCTACGTGGTGCTGCTGCAAGCGCTGCATGCTGCAGCAGCAGCACGAAGGTCTCGTACCGCCTCTGCACCTGAGGAAAGTCGACCAGTAGCAGCAGCAGCAGCAGCAACAGCAGCAGCAACAGCAGCAGCAGTTTCTGCAGCAACCAGCAGACTGGGTGAGACTGCCCTTAGCAGCAGCAGCAGCAGCTTCGAGACCTCTGCTGCAGAAGTTGCTGCTGTGTGGCAGCTTCAGGTTGCAAAGGATTTGCGAAGGTTGCGTCACGCAGCAGAATTTCTGCAGCAGGGCGAAGGTGGCGCTGCTGCACCTGCTGCTGCTGCTGCTGCGGCTGCAGCAGCAGCAGCATCGACAAACCCCCTGGCACTGCAGCAGCACCAACTGGAAGCAGCAGCTGTATCCCTTTTCTGCAGCGCAGCAGAGGCAGTAGCGGTCCTCGCGGAGATGCAAATGAAGCCTTCAGTGCGAGATGCTGTGCCGACTTTGCTGCTGTATGTTTGTTTGCTGCTGCTGCTGCTGTTGCAGCCCCTAATGCTGCTGCGAAATGCATGCGTGGCTGCTTGCTGTCTTGTTGGATGGCAGTGCGTCGGCAGCAAGAAGGCGGCGATGCTGCTGCACATCGTTAACCAAACCCTCTAAACTCGGGTCGCTGCTGCTGCTGCTGCTGCTGCTGCTGGTCCACTTTTTGCTTCTGGTGCTGCAATGTGCATGCAAAGCTGCAGCTGCCAGCCCCAATATGCTGTTTGATTCCTTTCCTTGTTTCTTTGCAGCACATTGGAGCGACTTCGCTTATCACAGAGGCTGGGCCGAAGTCAATCGCAGCAGCAGCAACAGCAACAGCAGCAGCCTATCGTGGAGGCAGGGACGTCTATGGGTGCTTCGGAAGAAGCGGAAGCAGCAGCAACAGCAGCAGCAGCAGCACAAGCTGCTGTGCGATGCCTGCACGCTTTGGGTCGCTGCCAGTTGTTCAGTGAGAAGCTGCTGCAGGAGGTCTCTGTACACCACATTGCTGCTGCTGATGCGGACACTCTCGCTCTTTATCTCTTTGAGTGCGGCCGTATGGGTCTCCGCTGCAAGCGCTATATAGGTGAGTTGCATATGCACCCGAAGTGAAAGCCCTCTGCCGTTGCTGCAGTTGCTGCTGGTCTGGCTGGCGCTGCTGCTGGTGTTGCTGCTAGTTTGGCTGTTGCTGCTGGTGCAGCAGCGGCAACTGCTGCTGCTCTAAGTGGTTCTGTTGTTGATGCTGCAGCGCTGCAGCCGGTGTTGGTGCTGCAGCAGTTCTATGGGCATGAGTTGTGTTTGTCTTGTATGAGATATTTGGGTGTTTGGGGTGTACGTACACCTCAGATGGATGCTTCGACAGGGCATTAGCTGCTGTTGAAGAGATGTCTGCTGCTTCCTTACTGCTGGCTTGTGCGGGTCTCTACCGCTTCTGTTCTGACTGGAAGCCTTTCTACGAGCGTGCAGCACCTCGGCTGCTGCAGCAGGTGAGGCCCTGAGGGTTCTATTTAATAATAGCACTTGCGATAAACAAAGATGAAGTGGCGTGCAGGCTTATATGCATGCACAGCAGGTACACAGCCTGCTGCTGCTGCTGCTGCGTTGTGGAGGTACACCACGTGATGCGGGAGGCAAGGCGCAGTTGCGGGTGTGGGGTGTGCTGCTGCAGCTCAGCAGCATGGACTTCTATCAGCTGCGGTTGATGCTGCGCCTCTCTAAGCATCTCAACCCGGCACTAAAAGACCCCCAGCTGCTGCAGCTCTCGAAAGAAGCTGCTGCTCTCCTCACTTCCGCTGTACCCTCTCTAGACCTACAGCAACTCTGCTGGTCAGCAGCAGAAACAACTACAACCCTCTGCTGTTGTAGCTTCTGCTGCCGATAGTGCTGCTGCTGCTGCTTTTAATGCAGCTGCGTTTGCTGCTGAAAATAATGAAGATGGCGGTTCTGGTGCTGCTGCTTGTGATGGAGGTGCCACTGGTCTCCCTGCTGCTGCTGCAACTAAACTGCTGTTGAGTTGGGCTCTCGATGCTGGTGACTGTGATACTTTTTGGTGCTGCTGCTGCTGCTGATGATGATGAATAGGGTTCTGCTGCTGCCGATGATGGTGCACATGCTGCTTCCTCTGCTGATTTTGCTCCGGCAGCGTCGCTGCTTCTGCTGCTGCTTAGTTATAAACTCTTTACAGATGTTAGTTTTGCGGTTGCTGCAGCATCGCCACCTTTGTTGAACGGAGGTGTCCAGACACCCCACCGGAGTACGAAGTCCTCACGAAGGCCCTTGTGGCCGCTGTAGAGGCATCAGCGCCTCCTCGCCTACCAGCACAAGCAGCAACAGCAGCGGGGAAAGCAGCAGCAGCAGGAACAGCAGAAGCAGCATTGGAGGCAGGAACACCAGCAGCACCACCAGCAGCAACAGCAGCAACAGCGGGAGAGGCGGAGCGTGTAGCTACAGATCCTCTGTCTCTTGTGCATCCTCTGCACGATTTGGTAGACTTAGTGGATTGCACTGCTTCTCATGGAGTGCAGAGTTCAGTGGTGCCGCGGGTTGAGGCAGTTGTTGCTGCGAGGTATACCGGTGCGTCTGCGTGCAGAGACCACAAGCTGGACCCAGACACCGCGAGGTGTACAGACACCGCAGCGCATATGCGAAACCCCAAGTTGAAAAATATGTATATATGTATATGCACCCATATATATGCATCTGTATGTACGCGCATATATATATATATATATATTTGTTACATGCATATACAGATTGACATATGTAGGTATAGATTTGTGTGAATGCATCCCATCACATGTGTATATATATATATACATATATATATATATGCATATAATACATGCATATAATATTAGGGACTGTGAGCTGCTGCACATGGCTCTGCGCTAACGGACGGAGCCGAGACTCACACGGAGACGCAAAAGACACTGCAGAAACAGAGACACAAGAAAACAAGGAGACACCAAGACACAAGAGACTGAGAGACAGATCTACAGAGTGTTGATGGGAGGCAGTCTATCCCTTGTTTGATTTCTCTCTGCGTTGAGCGCTTCTTCTCTGCAGTGGCTTTGCTTTCTGTCTCGAGTGGGTGGTGCTTGCCTTATCCGACACCGCTGGGCTCTTACTGCTGCTGTTGCTGCTGTTGTTGCTGCTGCTGCTACAGAGATTGAATACAGCGTAAACTTCACCCTGTGGCTCATTTGCCTCGATGCCTTCTCTCGAATCAAAGGCCACTACCCCCACTTGCTGCTGCAGCATATCACATCAAACATCTGCAAGCCACTAGCAAGCAGCAGCAGCAACAACAACAGCAACAGCAAGGGGACTTGCAACCGCAGCAAAGGCAGCATATCGAGCCCTATCGATTCCCTCAGCGCCCTCCAGAGACTCAAATTCATGCAGGCCCTCACTCGCCTCTCCTTCTTTCCCCTCCCAGTTATTCAGGTATCTTCAGGGTTTAGGGTATAGGGTTTAGGGTTTAGGGTTTACGGGTCGGGGTATGAACAGTGGTGCTTTAGCCACCTGAAATAATCAGGATGCAGTCACAAACCCGCATCTGCTCATGCTTCCTCTCATCAAATCAGCAGCAGCTGCAGTAACAACAGCAGCAACAGTAACAGCAACAACAGCAGTCGCAGCTTCAGCGGCAGCAGCAACAGTAGCAGTAGCAGCTGCGGTAGCAGCAGCAACAACAGCAGTAGCAGCTGCAGTAGCATCAGCAGCAGTAGCAGTAGCAGTAGCAATTGCAGCAGCAGCAGCAACAGCATGTGTTTTTTATTGGATAACAGCACGAGCTTGTATTTTTCTTTTTGTGTTGCATTTGTCTGTTTCATTAAGTTATGGTGCAGCAGCGTGGAGGGCGAGTTGAATTTGCTGCGGAGTTTGAGGGACGCGATGACCTGCGTCTTTCCTTTGTCACTTGCGGTGTACATACACCCCGTGTTGTTCTCTCGAGCCTTTCGATTTGTGGAGAGCAGATACAACAGAGAGAGACCCAGGTCTGGGTTGCTGGCTTCTGACAGGTGCTTCGCCCGTACAGCTGCGATTGCTGTTGCTGCTGCTGCTGTTGCTGCTGTTGCTTTTCCTTTTGCTGCTGCCGTCGCTGCTTTTGGTAGTGGTGGTGCTGCTCGTGTTGCTTTTGCTGCTGTCGCTCCTACGTTTGGTGGTGCTGCTGCTGCTTTTGGTGGGGTTGCTGCTTCTTGTTTCGGTGTTGCTACTGCTGCTGGTGTTGCTGTTGCGGCTGCTGTTGTTGCTGCACGTGGCGCATGGCGGGCTAGGGGAGGCCTGTGCCGCTTGCTGCTGAGGTATATCTGCAGGTGCTTCTTTTATTTATTGTGTGTATAGTGCGCTAGCGAGGAAATCTTTGTTTTTACTGTTCCGTGTGGTGCCTGGTGTACAGACACCTCGAGCCTCTGTTTCTCTCGCATCTCTGCTGGGCCTTCCTTGTCGCTGAGATGCAGCGCAAGCCCTTCTTTGTTACTCTCCTAGATCGCGCCCTGGCGCTGTCTCCTCCCCCTACAGCCCCGGTGTCTCCTGCAGCAGCAGCAGAGGAGGCGTTTGCTGCTTGTAAGAGCCAAACAGCCTCTGCAGCAGAAGCTGCTGCCGAGGATTTCACTGCAGGGGGACCCGTGCCCTGGCGTATGCGGGATGTTACCGCGCCGGTTGGCAGCAACAGCAGGAGCAGCAGCAACGCTGCTGCTCCCACTGCCGCTCCTACTGCTGCTGGTGTTGCTGTTGACGCTGCTGGTGCTGGCGCCTCTGGAGGTTCTGCTGCAGCAACAAAAGACCGCGCTGCAGCGACGGGAGACGGTGCAACAGCAGCAGGAGACTATGCTACAGCAGCAGAAGGCTGTGCTGCAGCAGCAAGAGAGACAGTGCCGTGGCAACTGAGCCTTCCAATGACTCCCCTTGACTGCATCACCTACCGCAGCCACTGCGAGCCGGCGGTGCTGCTGCAGCAGGTGTGCCGGTTGCTGCAGCTGGAAGCCCCGCAGCTGGCAGCAGCAGTGCAGCAGCAGCAAACGTTTAGGGCCCACGCCGAGGCCGTTATACGGTGGAAAGGAGATAGGCAGCAGGAGCTGCAGCAGCTGCTTGCGGAGGTTAAGGGTGCGGCAAGAGAAGAATTGCATTATTTGTTTTTTGTCTGCACACGGAATATGCTTGGGGTGTTCTTCTCTCTTGTTTTCATTTCTGCTTAAGTCCCTTCATGTGAGCCTCTTTATCTCCTCTGCGTTGTATCTGTCTTTCTTTCTCTTCCTGGTTTTGTTATTGTCTCCTCTTTGGTTCTTCAACTCCTCAACTGTGGTTCTGCTCGTTCGTTTTTTGTTTGCTTCTCTGCTGATGCGGCACCCCTTTTAAGGAGTGAGATGACTAGCTGCGACCGTCTTTAGCTGTGTGTGGCTCGTATGAAGCCCTCTTAACCCCTGCTGCAACTGCCGCTGCTGCTGCCGCTGCCGCTGCGGTTGCTGCCGTTACCGTTGCTGCTACGCTGCTGCTTGTGTGGTGCAGGGGCGGCTAGGGAGTCTGGGCTTGAGTGGCGGGAGGCACGTGAGGGGCTTCCGCCTTCTGCGTTATCTTCATTTGGCAGCCAGTGGCCCTTCAGTGAAGTTTGTCTGTGGGTTCAGGGGGCCCCTTTGGTTCTCCAGGCAGAAGCAGAGGGGCTGCTGCGTGCAGCTGGGGGGCCCCCAGAGACGCGCCGCAACTTCAACACAGGGCACAAATATTTGTTGCTAAGGGCTTTTAGAGCCTTAGGTGTCTTAAGGGTGAGCGGCTTCCTAAGACAACTCTTCTACCCCTTTGCTGCTGCTCGGCTGTCTCAGACACTCACCCGCATATATACAGATGCATGTGCGTTTATTGTTAATATATATATATATATATATATATATACCTTCTGTATGTGCACTTACCTTTGGAGGGGAAGAGAGAGAAGGAGAGAAAGGCAGGCAGACACACACACACACACAGAGCGGCAACAGGACAGAGAAGCATATATATATATATATATATATATATATATATATATGCTTCTCTGTCCGGGCTGTAGCGTCGCCCTCTATGCACTGCTCCCCATGCCTGGTTCTGCAGGGCTCTGCTTGCGGCTTTTGCTGGTTTTGTCTTTTTCTTGTTTGCTTCTTGCGCCTGCGTGGACGGCATGCATGCAGCTTTAAAGGCCCTGCGTACATCTTGCTTATTGTTGCAGCGTCTGTTGCTGCATTAACTGCTCCGGCTGCCGTCTCTGCTGTTACATGTGCTGCAGGTAGTCTTCATCGACGCTGAAGAGTGGCGGAGAGCGAGGGAGACACAGCAGCAGGTGCCTCTACTCCGCAGCAAATTCACTTTCTGATGCCTCGGAGTGCTTCCGTTTCAGTGTTCTTATGTGCGTGCATGCATCCACACGAGACAGCATTCATGCATGCATGCATTCATGCATGCATGAACGAATCCATCGATGTGCTTAGGGGAATCTGAATAAAAAAAGTGAGGGAATCTCGTGTTGCTGCTGGATGGGGTAGTTGCTTCCTAGTGACGCAGGAGCAGGCGCAGCAGCAGGTGCAGTAGCAGATGCAGCAGCAGATGCGGCAGCAGATGCAGGAGCACGCATGGCAGCCTGCAGGGCGAAACAAATACGAAGGGCCCCGCAGTCTGCTTTCAAGCCCCTGTTTGAGAGACTGCAGCTACGCACTTTTTTTGCAACTTTGAATATTCTTTTAATTTTTATTTAATATGTATTGGCTTAGGGACTAAGGACCGAGGGTTTTTGCTGTTACGAGGCCCCAGGGTTGAGGGGCCGTCGAACGCATAGAGGTCTAAGTGGCTTCCAAACCGTCAGACAAGGGGAGCAGCAACGAGGGCTCACGGGCTGTTACAAAAACAACTGTAGTTGGGGCGTTTTTCTGGTAGCATTGCGCATGCGTCCTCGTGCTACTACTACGAATAATACTGGGATTAGTTTTTCTGATAGTGTTTTTGGTATTGTTAATAGTATTACCACGGGAAGGGCTCTCAGTACAAGACAGTTTCTGTCGCTGCGGCGGAGTTGAAGGTTGGGTTTAAAACTTCCCCTTACTCTCAAAAACTGTTTGCTTAGGGCTTCATCGTTGAGTGCCTGCAGCCTTTTTAAGCTTCCGCATGCAAAAAGGGAAGACCTGTGCAGATGCGTGTGGGGGGGAAGGGGGCGCTCTCAAGACAGCATTGGCGTTGGGTACCAGATGAGTATTATCAAGGGAAATGTTAAATTTCTCTCCTCTTTTCCATTTGTTATTGTATTTTATTCTGTAGGTGGAAGAGGCTTACAAAACCTTCACTTTGTTCTTTATGCAGGGCCTGTGCTCGCTTTGTTCAAATCACCAGACCACTCGGTGCACGAATTAATACTGCAGCTATGCAGGGGTCCCACAAGAGCCTAATCATTCTAGCGCCCACAGCCTCTCTAATGCAGCAGCTGGTGGGGCGCAGCAGGAAGAGTGGGTGCAGCTGCAACATAATACAGCAGTTTCATTGTGTATGCCTGCTGCAGACTGTGTATACCCGCTATGACAGTTAAACATTGGTATATGCTACAGCATATATATATATATATATATACTGTATATATATATATATATGCATGGAATCACCATTTTACTTAACTATGATGGACCGTCCAAGGAAGCAAAAGGTCTTCTTGCTTTCCCTAGTTCTCAAGAAGTAAATTTTTGAATGTAAAGAATATTGCATTTTAGCATCTGCACACAGGAGAGCCGGGACGCTTGCTTAATAGTCAACTAGATCAGATACAGAAAGAGAGAATGCAGAGAAAAAATCTGTAGATGTTTCTATGCCTAGTGCGTAGAGCATCCTGGGTGAAGTCTCGCCGGTTTGAATCCTGAATCGTATTATTTTGCCGTCCTCATTTTAACGCCGGCTATTTCGTCCTAGCGGTAGTTGCAATATCTCCTTCTTTGGGGATCATCAGGGCGTTTTTTGTTTTTCTAAGATGTAAAATAAACGAAGACAGCAGCAGCAGTGCCTCCACTTACAACTCCGGTGCAGCAACTCAGCCGGTAGGCAGCAGGAGCACGGGCCTTCTTGTTATTGCTTCCGATTGTTGCATAGAGGTACAATTGTTACCTCGCAATTTAATTTGAAGCTTATTTAATGCAAATATATATAATCATTAGATGAAAAGGCAAACAGATATACGCAGAGGAAAAAAGCCTCCTGCCGGAATCGAACCGGCGACCTTTCGCTTACTAAGCGAATGCTCTACCGACTAAGCTAAGAAGGCGTCGGTGGTTCTCCTGTATCGCTTCAGTTCACGGAATAAAGTGAACGAAAGTTGACAACCTTTTATCATTTTGTTCTCTTAGATTTAGTATTAGTAATCAATTTACAAGGAAAAGAAATACTTTTCCCTCAGCTGTGCTGCTTCTTCCCTGCGGAGGCAACAGCCTCTTTGCTAAGCTTTGTTGTGGTGGTCCGTTTTGCCATCCGCTTCCGAAAACAAAGCATTTAAAGTAAAACTCATCTGTAAAAGGAACTGAATCAATTAACAACTGACCACGTGTGTTATTCTGGTGGGGTTGTTGGTGCCGGAGGCGACAAACAGTCCCGGGTCACTCTCTTCGTTACATTTTCGGCGGGGGAGGCAGAAAAAGAATATAATTTTTTTCCTTCGGTTTTTAGAATATATTCCCGTAGCAAACTTTCTTTAGAACAGTTTAAGTACATTCTTCCAGCAGGGGTTTCATTGAACACGTATGCGTAGTAGAGCACAGTCCAGCACTGTTTAACTTTGTTATTCACTGCCTCACTCTCCCACGCATACAACAGTCGTGTTGTTGACTGCAAAACTACGGAAACTTCTTTTTCGTCTTATCGTTGAACAAGATGAAGATGCGGTGGCCGTTTGAGAGGTTCGACGGCGCAGTGTGCAAGGCAAGCCTGAAAATGGCGATCAGCAGAGGTAACCATTATTCCAGATACTTCCTCACCAACTTGTACAGAAATATTTCCCCAGTACTTCATGCAGATAGTTCCTTATTGATTTATGCAAATACTTCTTTTTCAGCTACTACAGAGATAATTCGCATTATTCCGTACGGAGAAAAGTACTACTACTTAGGGCAGGGATAATTCCTCACTAAAATTAGTAGAGACAGTTACTCAATAACCAGCGCAGATGTAGTTCCTCTTAGGCAGCATTCTGCGCCCTTCATCTCACAATGAGATGCTCTTAGGAGGAGCAGAAAGTTCTTTGAAACAGCAACCCTTGCTGTGCTACTCCGTGGCGTTATGCTCTTTTAAGCGACTTCTCTGATGTTCTGCTGTTCTTCGCAGCGCGCATGTGCACCAACAGACTGCAAAATTCTATTCGACTTCAACGCAAAGAAATCGCCGGTTTCCTTCGGTACGCACATATCTTGTGTACAATACAACCACATTTACATGTATACGCATGTACGAAATATTTATGTCTTCGTACAGAATATAGGTTTCTTAAGAATTATGTTTGATTGGGAAGGAGCGGGACGAGGTCGGGAAGGGGGTTCTTATGCAGCTTGTTGATCCCCCCTGAGTAGCGTTTGGCCCCTTTTCTCCTGTGTACATTCATAATAGCGGTGTACACTTCATGGATTTCCCTTGTGCTGCCTTGCGCTGACAGGGAAGGGAGAGAAGAGGGCGCAAGGTTGAAAGGAGAACACCTCTTGCGCGAATACAGACTGGAGAGGGCCATGGAGATCCTCGTGACGGTTTGTGAACTTCTTATTTCCAGACTTGTGAGGCAACGCAAATCAACGCGCAAAGCAACACACGTGACTAATTGCACACACAAGTTTCCAACTTGTATAAGGAGGCAAAGCAAAACATGTGCCTGGTTGCACGTACAAGTTACTAAACTGCGCGAAGATACAAGCAAAGCACTTGCCTTATACAAGTATTTGGAACATGTTCGTCAGAGCCTGGCCTCGGCTGCCCTCACAGACCGACGAGCGAAGCCCCTTGCAATTTCGTGGAGGGGAGTAACGCCATGAGGTTGCTCGAAAGGGGTTCTTCTTTGCGGACCCCGTTCGATGGCTTAGGGTTTAGCAGATATAGGCTTAGGCCTGGTGTTTGGTGTTTTTCCCGAAATCCTTTGGGTTTCAAGCAGACAACAAAGAGAGCATATTGGGTGCGTATTGTGTTGCAGAGTTATCTTGCTACGGAACGCACATGCCCTCCTGACTTGGTCTCCCCGATTCACACTCTTCTTTACTGCGAACCGCGGCTAAGTACGAAGCTACATTTTGAAATACTTGAACTCTGCAAAAGAAAAAAGCGGAATCAGAGTGAAGTAACAGCAGCTGAACCGAGTGCGTTCACTGCTCCTCTGCTGTATCTGCAGGCATCGATGAGCTGGGAACAGTTCGGCGGCAGTTTGCAGTGAAGTATGGGGAAATGTTTGTGGAGCGTGCAGTGAAGAATGCGAAACAAGAAGTCCATTTTAAGGTCCCTTTGCTTTCTGCTCCCTTTTTGCCTTACTGCGAAGCAGTTCCATCACGAAAGCAGACGGCCTTAGTGCTGAACGTTTTTTTCTTTTGATGCACTAGTGACGGCTGCATACATTATATTATATATACTATATTATATATTTATATATTACATTGGAGATTTACACGCTCTGTTCTCCGCTCTCTACGCAGCTTGTGCACGCGCTTTCTCTCGCTCCACCCCTCGAGTTCGACATTCAACAACTCCTCTGTGGTATCGCTAAGGAGTACTGCATATCTGAATGGAAACCGAGCATAGCCATGGTATACCTTAAGAAACACAAGAAAGAGACGGCCAACACACTTCTTTGCCAGTTCCTTAACACTGAGAAGGTTTCTTTAGATGTCATAGAGAAATAATAATATGCATGTGGCTGTCTGTATGACGAACGGCACCCGTGAATCTTTTTGCTGTTTATTCCTTTGCATGTACAGGAAAGCAACGAAGCTTGCGACTTTATTCCACGGGTAAGGCACCTGAGTTTCATTGTCTGTCAGACCTTTGAAAATGTTTTGGCTGCTGCTGAGTGTATAACAGGCCTTCAGTCTGCTGCAGTTTGCTGCATAAGACATTGTGGGGCACTGCAGTGCTCGGGCTCGCTGTTGCTTCAGTTTTTTCCCTCTCTGCACAGCGCCAGGTTGGGTGTTTGGTCATCAGTTGAAATGAGATAAAGAGATTTTATGCGTGCTTGTATTCACCCAGCCGTCGCTGGCCTCGAAGCAAACGGCAGCGCCTTTCCTAAGTCTTCCTCCTTTCAAAGAGGTTAGCGAGCTGCGTTCAGCTCACTTGCATTCTTCTGTTCAGAAATCAGTTACGTTGGGAGGTTTGGTGGACTTAAACTCCACGTGCATGCGCCTGCGTGTTTGGGATGCAGCCACAGCGGCACAACCATCGCCAGCAGCAGCAACAACAGCAACAACAACCGCAACAACCACAGCAGCTCCAACAGCGAGAGGAGGCCGTCATGGCTGGTCGAAAGAGTGGCAGCAAAGATAGGCAAGCACTCCCTTCGTCAGTCGATGCGGATTCCAACCAGACCGTTCCCCAAGCCGACAATATATTAACTGCCGCTGCTTCTCGCCGCAGTAACGGTGGCCAGGACACAAGAGAAAACAGTCCAAACTGCAACACAGAGGCCCACCTGCAGAGGAAGCTCGTGCATGCAGAAGAGGCCTGTGGTTTCCCGTCACTGCAGCCTCCGCCCAACCCCCACGCTTTCGCTCCAGGTGAGCCGCACAAGCGTCCTCAAGGTGATGCCAATTGGCTTCGCTCAAAAGTGCAACAAAGCTGCTGAGGATAGTGAAATAAGCGCCTGGTGAAAAGACGATCTTCGGGTGTTTCGGTTCACAAGCTCAGTTGAAAGTTCTACGTGCGTTACACTGCGCTGCAGATAAAGCAGATGCCGAAGCCGTCCCGCTGCACAGCACGGAGGCCCGCTTCATTCCCGTACACGGTGAAAGCCCACTAACGCCGAACAAACGCAGCGGCAGCAGTAACGGCAGCTTTTGGATCCATGATGATTGCAGAACACCTTTTCAACAGGAAATCCCTCTCGGTTCATGGCCTTCCCCAGAAAAGGCCCCATTCCCTCATTCGCATATCACCCACAATTTCCGCTGTCAGCAAAGAAGAGAGAGTATGCAGCATGCGGCAAGCCAGTCAAGCTGCAGCAACACGAAACTGTTCAGCAGTAGCTTCTCACGCTCACATCCACATGAAAAAGAGGCCGCTGTTTTGCGAACGGCAATACCTGCGGCTGCCACGCCTGCTTATTTTCCGCTGTAATGCCAACACGCCTGCTATGTGACACTGCACCTAGTCTTTGTACGCTCTCTCCTAGTCAGAGGAAAGCAAGCACCAATCGCCGACCTTCGCCGGACACCCAGAGGGTAGTTCGATGCCGTGAATCCCATACCCCTTTTCTATTTGCATTACGCGGGAACGAACGATGTCATTTTGGTGCCTTATGGACTGTTGCTTTGCATTTCCAAATTCTGTTGCAGCATCATCTGGGTAGCTAAAAAAAGGCGTGCAGAAACAGACGAAAAAGGAGGTAGCTAAAGAAGAGCGTGTTCCACAAACTATAAACTAGTACGCGGATTGTTAGTTGCTGCCACAAGGCAGCGGCGGTTTGTTCAAGCAAAATTCAATATGGATACATTCATGCATCGAGCGGCTAGGACTCGTCGTCTGTCTCGGCATATCTCTGAGCATCCCAAGTGCCGAGCTGCACGACAGACGTGGACCCGTGGACTGCCTCCAGCAACTCTTTGTACAGCTGCGAAATGAGAGCAGCGGAAGGGCACGGGATCTGGTAACAGCGGTCTCCCCTAGCCTCCACATGTCTCAGCGAGCCGGCGTGCGTGCGTTGAGCCCTCGGGGAACTGTCAACACTGCTGAGAGAAGCCAAGACGTCCTTAGGCCGCTGCACGGTAGGCTGACCTGCTCGGATGATGACGCCGTGCGTGCTGGCCCGAATGTCACGAACAAGCGGAATGCTCGCATGCCAAAGTACATTAACGTTCTTGGCTGTCCGTGGCTCCGACTCGTCTTCACCTTGGGAGCCCCCGGAAGCCTGGGGGGTTCCCACCAGGTCCACAAAGAAGATATCCTTAGGGTAGAACAGCACGACAAAGTGCCGAGGCGGCAACGCCTCTTCTTTCAACACCGTTATAAATTTCTGCAGACGCCGTGTCACCGCTAAACCCAAACACTCGCGCAGGGTCGCTTCCGTCTCATCGTACGGCCTGAAAATATACAAGTTCAAAGATATACAAATAAACCACCGACAGCGGAAGCCGAGTGATAAAACGCTTCATGTCTTTTTAACTCTCATCAAATTGCTGTTCCCCAGTGTAGCACATCACCAAACTTTCCACATGCAGCCTATGAATCCTGCGATTGAGTGCGCAGTAATGCTCGTACCTGATTTCCCCAAGCTCCCCCAACATCCGAGGTTTGCGCCTTCGTTCGTTTCTGAATTTGTAGGCTCCGATCGGTTTTGATACTTCTGCTTTGATGCCTCGGGTGACGTCGGATACGGCTTGGCCGACTTTATCAAGAGGCTTAACTAGGGAACCAACTATGCCTTTGCCGATGCCTTTGAAGAATCCACCTACACCTTCGCGCTGAGCCCCCTCGATGGGTTTGGTTACGATGTTTGTCAGAGACCAGACGCCCTCTCCGATGTTTTTGCCCGCAGAAAGAAAGCCGTCTCGCATGCTTGCCGTGTTTCGCACACGCTCCCTTTGCCTCCTATTGATGTACTCTGAGTCGAAAGTGAAGGTTGAAAGCAAACTCCCCAACCCGGCGCTTACGCTGTCCACTGCGTTCGCTGCCAAACCTATTGTGTTCTTCCCCAACTCAAAAGGCATACGCGGCAAATTCAAAAGTGAACTCTGCCCCAAAGATGAGAACACAGAATTCAACAAATGATACGTGTAACGTTCTTGCAATGATGCCACGAACGTCTTCGCCGTTCCCCGCAGATTCCTGAACTCCTCGCGCTGAAAATTCAACTTCGCCCCCTGAAAAAGATACAACCCCACGTAATCTGCTCGAGTGGAAAACACTACCGCATTTGAAGTCGGGTGAGAAATAATCCCACAGGGTAACAAATCGAATCAAGGGCAACGAGAGATTAGTTCGATGCCGTACGTCTCACTATCCGCACGACGAGAAGATGCTGGTACGCAGCTTACCATGAGCTCCAGGCGCCCGGACGCCATAAGGATGCGTAGGCCCACTTTCAGGAGATCGGAGAGCATGTGCATTTTATCCAGGACGAAAGAACACCAGCAGTAAACGTCGAATTTGTCGATGAGCATGGACTCTAGTGACAACACCGTGGGCAAGGGAGGCCGGGTATACGTCTGGTGAATAGGCGATTCAATCCACAGCTGCAGTTCCTCGGCTGAAACAGTGCGGCGGGAAGCAGCGCTCATCAGTCCAAGAGACGTCATACAAGCCCACAAGAAGTCCTGCAGCAAACGAAAGCCGTTAGAATGCAGTAGAACCGTTCTCCGGTCTTGCCAGTAAACTGTGTGCAAAGTCAAGCACCTCAAACGCAGACGGCTTGTGGAATATCCCACCACACAACCGCTGCAACCGGTCCAGCTACGCTGCGCAGCTCAAGCTCCAAACCATCCACGGGCATCCACACTGGCATTTACACGCATAATGAATAGGCGAATGCGTAGTTGTGCGTTTGTCAGTTGTCAGGAGTTTGATTTACGTTGAGGCCGTTAAGCGCATCGGCATCGATCTCCACTTCCAAGTTGTCCACTTCGAGCTGAACTCGGCGCAAGATGACGTCGCTGCTGGTGGTGTGGTGTCGAACGACAAAAAGACTCAAGAACGGCTTCGAAGCGGTTTGAGCCGAAAACGACTGCGCAGACAAATATCGCACTGACAAACGGCAAACTCAACAATCCGACTTACTCGAAAAGTTCCTAGGGTAGGCTCATATCTCAACAGTTTTATCTTTTTTAGTACAAAACTAAATTAGGGTGCCTCGAGCATTGCACTGCACCATTACGACAAAACACAGGAATACACGCACGAAAAACCCCAAGAGAACCTCTGGATCCGATCGGATTCATATCTGTATATCAAGCCCCCTTTTCATGATGGCGGTGATACATTCTAACGGAGCGAATTTTCGGCAAGCAAACAAATACATGGTTCCTTCCTTCTAAAAGAAACTCATGAAAAAGATTTTCGCTAGGGTTATCAGCTCCTTTTCAGGTGGCCTAACTAGATGAGTTTCAGGAAAAGCACGCTTGCAACGTGCTAATCAATCCAGCCTGTCGCTCTGCGTAAGAATTCAAACGACAATCTTATCACCAGATGAACGTATAGTACGCGCCGGTTTCCTGTGAAGGTGCATGTTGTTTTCGTTGTTACCTCTTCAGCACCCTGGCCACCACCTCCTCGATTGGCCAAAAGCACCGGTTTTCTTGCTTGTTCCATTTGGTTATCGATTTGGATGTCGGCAATGCGAACGAGCAATTTCTGTCTTTCTCCCCTCTCTTGAAACCCGATGGCCAGCTGAGACATCTCCGCGAAACAGAGTTCTTCTCTCACAGCGTCATAAATCAGCGAAACCCCCACCTGAGCCATGGTCACTGCCACGTGTAAACTCCGCAAGGGGCTCTCTACAGCCTGCAAAGAGAGAAAGGACAGCCCTTGAAGAGGTCATCAAATCTACGTCATCGTCTACGAAACCTGCTTCTCTTTACTCTTTACTTCCCCCAGAACCACCCGCCGCAAGTGCTCCACTGCTCATGAGCGTGAGGCAAGCCCTGGCTCGTGCTTACCATTTCAGGTTCAGTCCCTTGGGACTTGGGAGAAGGCAACACCGCAAGGGCACGCTCAGGGCCGGTTCCTGGCTTCGGCCGGACTTCAATGATCATCGCATCCCCTCGTTTCTCCGTCCTCACGATAATTTGAGGCATGTCAGGGAGGCCCAGGTTCACTTCATAGCGTTTGTACTGCGGTGTCTCCAGATCCAGCGCAATGGGGCTCTTAGGCGCCACAGTCTTGCTGTCAATCCACAAGAGGACTTGGCACTGAAAAGCAGCGAATAGGACACAACTGTCAGTCAGCTATACAATGCCTCAGCATTCCAACAAACCGCCACGTCCATAAAGCACTGCCCTCTACACCTGGGAGCTGATACTGGCAAGCAAATAAAATCAACAGAAACCTGACTGAAACACTTGGCACATCGGAAGCATATATATATATATATATCACAATCACGAGCGCGAACGCAAGCTCAGAGTACCGCTGGTCTGCAACGCAGCGAAAGGCAACCACGGCGAAACAGAAGCAACAAAGAGGCGCATTCGAGACGCATGTGAGGGACTCACTGGGCGTGAGGTGTATGTAAAAGGGAAGGGCCACCCATAGGCGACTGTCTCTCCTTCGTTTGCAAAGAAATGAAAGTCAAAATCCGGCAGTTTCATGGGCTGTCTGCTCCAGGTCGAGGCGGAGGGGGAGAAGGACGAAGATCCTCCCCCCATGTCAGTGCCTCCTTGCCCTTGCATACTCATCTCCGTGTGGTATGTATGGACCATCACACGTTGAATCACAGGGCATTTGTTAATGACCAAAAACCCCTCCGAGTTCCCTTCAGCTCCCCGAATGCAGATACTCTTCACGCCGCCATCAGGAGCCACTTCGACGCAGAAAACCCCTGAGAAGAAGCAAAAACATACCGTCCAAGCCATACAAACAGCACATCTATCTACGCATAGGGGGAGGATAGTGACGCGTCTTTTGTATGTACATAAGTGCTTGTGTCAAGATCATGGTCTTGATCAAACTGTGGGGTGTACAGCTAAAGGCATAAAATCTTTCGGGGTTGCAATCCCAGCGGAAGAACCGAAGCCGCCTGCCTACCAGGTGCTGCGTCTCGCATGCCGTTGTAGAGGGCAATCCAACTCTTGCCTGCCGTCTCTTCACTGGCCACCACAGCGCCTGACCACGCGTAGCCGTCACCGGCTCCCGGGCGAAACTGAATTGCCTGCGGTAGCTCTGAGCTCGCCCAGTAGACTGGGTAGCTTTGGCCGGGGTGCACTGCGCATGCAGACAAAGAAGAGAACTGACAAGGTGTTAAGAAACAGTCAGCATGTGCAGCTAGCCGCACAGGCCTGCTGCATCACATTTCCTAAAGCAAGCTCCATTCCTAACCGCTCCTGTTTGCAACAGACAGAACCGAGAAGCGTGCAGCGAGATGCTGTAAAGACAGAAAAGGGGAAGCAAGCCGGCAGGAACTGTGAAGCCACTGCAGCAAGCTGTGGCTCACCTTCAAATGCAGGTCCTGCGGTGCCGTACTGCCGAAAGAACAGCGGAGTTTTCAACGCATTCGTCAATATGAATTCCGGCACGAGAGACACCACGCGGCAGATAGCCCCTGAAGCGCGCCAGTCATCAAAGCATCGTACTCTACGCAAACACTGTACAAAGCTTGTTCAAAAGAAAAAGCAGTCCCTGGAAGACGAACTGCTTCCTGGCCGTCAGCTGAACGCATGTGCTGAAATGAAATGAAACGGTGGGCGTCCTGCACGTTAGTGTGTTTCAGGCGTGGGTTTAAGGGCCCACCTGCGGTTTCTGAAGGGTCCATCTTTTCGCTCCTAAGGCGCAAAGTGTAACAACGGTCTTCAGTTTCCAGCGTCGCGTGGCTGTACCCGCCCAGGGCGGGGACGTTGACGCGGCACTCCACTGGCTGCCCCAAACCCCTTCGTCTAGGCAGCAAGAGAGTCACGTCGGAGGTCTGCAAAGAGAAGGTTCAAATGAGGTTGCATCTTATGCATTCACAATCATGTCTGAAACAGCCCTTTTGATACAAAGTTGAAACGGCTGCAAACAAACCAACATCTTCTGTTCCGAAACTTCAGAGACAAACAAATTCAAGTAGAAGCAGATGCGGCGGAAGAGAGGAGTTGACAAAGCAGCGGCAGCAGCAAATGCATGGAACGCATAGCAGAAGACGTACAGTGGAATCCCCCAAGAGGCTCTGACCGTCGAACTCAGGGAAGAAGCGGCCCTCCTGTACTGGGCGAACCCCCAAGCCTGTGCGGTCTATGAAGGCGCGTGGTGCTGCAATGACTGCAACCAGCTGCCGAGGCGAGATGTAGGGCAAGAAGGGGATCACCTCCGCAGTGTCGTGCAGCACCTCCAGTTCAACAGAGGCATGGTGACGAGATGGCAGCAGCACCCGGCTAACCACCTCGTCCTGCAGCTCACCGCGCACACACGCACATGTTCGAGTCCTACTAGCTCTGCTGCAATGTGTACATTACAAAGCAATGCATGTGTAGGGAGTAGAAACATGCTCCGAACCTCGTCCCCAGCAGGCACTTTCAAATAAGAAGCCCAGCTCTCCCAGCAAAACTGTGGGGAGTGCTGCAGCACTGCTGCAGCTCCACAGCAGCTCTTTTGCAGCACAGCCACCTCAGCTATGCTACAGGTCTGCTGCACCTCTGCAGCGGCAGGCTTGTGCAATACCTGTGTGCTCAGCAAGTCGGACACGACGGAGGACCATTCTGCTCCTTCCAGCATAGCAAATCGCATTCGAAACCTCAAGGGTCTGTTGGGCGGCACCTCATAGACTAAGAAGGTGGAGCGTCTCCTCAGTGTAGCGCTAAGAACGGGCCGTTGCTGCAGCGCATGCAGCTCCTGCAGCGCAGCTTCGGCTGTCTTGCTGCCAGCAGGCGCCACAGAGAGTTGCCTTCTTCCGGATTTCGAGGAAGCGGATGAGGGGGCAATGTGAACGTCCAGCTCTGTTGTCGTCGCATTCACCAGAGTCAGAGAAGGGAATATCGTCACTCTTTTTAACTCCTTCTCAGCAGGCAACGCCCCCTTCCTCCCTTCAATGTGCACCAAAAAATACAAATTCCGCACTGTCTTCACTGCAGCAGCAGCGCCACCAGCAGCCGCTGCCGCAGTGGGAAAACCTGCAGTCTTCTCCTGCGCGGCTGCGACGGCTGCCCCTGGGCGGCAATCTGGGGGGAGGTATGAGCTCTGTCTGCAGCGCAGGCCTTCCATGCGGTGTCTCGTGTCTATCATGTCGCACCAACCCGCAACGCAGCTCATATCCGGCGGTGCGGGGATCACCTCGGCCTGTTCACAGCGCCCCAGCAGCAGCAGCACAGGCACAAAACGGACGAAGTCTCCGTTGCAGTTCTTCTTCTACGCTGCAAGCAACGGACATTCCATTTTCGTCTGATGTTGATTGCTACTTGCTCCTGGCAGGGGACTGAGGGGAGGCACACGCCAGTTAAGATAAACCCAAGGAAGGGAACACTAACAAAAAGCAACAAAAAACAATAATAAACAGCATCATAACGTTGGCAAACAGCTAACCTCGATATCTGAGTCTGAGCGCGTGGGTGAAGCTAGGCCTGGGTTCGCTGCTGCTGAAGATGCTGCCGCGGTTACTGCAGTTGCTGCAGTGGTTTCTTCAGCGAAGGCCGCAGGTCGGAAGCAGACGTTGCACCAGCCGGTGCCTAGAATGGCTCTTTGGGGCACGGAGAGGACGTGTTGATTAGGAAGAAGGAATGTGTAGGTGAGTCTCTCGATCTTCTCTGTTGTTTGTGCTTGAGAGGCGAGTAGGCCCTCTTGTGCTGATTCTTGCTGCTGCAGAGAACGGGCCTGAAGGGAAGAAGACGCCGTGAAGTACGCTGCCAAGCGGCCGGAGTCAGTCTGCGCTCTCCTGAGGGGCGCTGATGCTGCGCGTTTTAGAGCAGGCGACCTGGTAGCGGAGGAGGCCTGCAGCAGCAATTTCAGCTGCTCCTTCTGCTGCAGCGTCTCGCGTCGCTGCACTGCTTTCCAGCGCTCCTCCCTGTCCAGCATCCACTCGGGCACCCTCGACAAGTCGGGGTGTAGAGACGACGGCTCCTCCACAGAAAGCTGTCCTCTCTTGCATGCGGGGGGTGGGGCTTCGCCGATGGCCTCCAGCGGGGCGTAGGCCCCGTGTGCTGCTGGCAGCAGCAGCGGGTTCAGGTCTGCATCTAGAAAGCAGATTTCTAGGGGCATGCCGCTGCTGTTGTGCACCAAGACGGTCGTCGACAACAGCAGCAATTTGTAAGACGGATGAGGACTCAACACCTGGCAAATCGCTTCGCTGCTGCTGTCCACGTGGGCCAGGGGGAGAGGCGCCGAAAAACTGCTGCTCACTGTTGAAGGCTCCCCGCTGCGTAGCGGCTGCGGGGCCTCGGGCCCACTTCCTTTCGTCTTCTGCGCCTCCACATCCACAAAGACAGACGGACCTGCGAACCAGGCACAGGACAGCAGAGACGCAGCTATAGCAGCAAAGATGCTGCACGTACACCTTTCCAAAGAAGCAGCACGCATACGGCAGCAAAAGTGTTGCACGCACTACGCAGCCAACGTTCTGCACGTGCATCTCTAATGAGGTGCAGCGCGTACACCGCAGCACACAAGTCATCGGCCAAAGGGAGGTCCAGGCTCCATCTACGAGCAGGAGGCAGCAGTTTCGTGAGTTGCTACGTCTGCAGCAGTTGGTCACGGAAGGAAACAGTAAAGCATGCAAACACAGCAGCAGCAGAAGCTGTAGCCGTCACAGCATCAACAGCAGCAGCAGCACACACCCGAAACTGGCCGTGGCATGCTGAGGAACTCTGCTTTCCCAGGCGACGGACAGCTTCTCTCGGGTGCACCGTCGCCTGGTTGAATCTGGAGGCCTGATACGCGTTTTCCTGTTCCCTGCGGCGCTGACGTCGGCTGTTTGCTCCTCTCCTGCTGCTGCTGCTGTTGTTGTTGTTGCTGCATTCGGAGTTCCTGTTCCTCCACGGCCCCTGTGGTGGTGGATGTCGCTGAGGAAATGCTGGAGGCATCACTAAAGGGGGGGGCCAAAGGGATACCCGAAGGCCTCCTGTCCTTCAACGTCAATGAACTGCGCAGCCGCTGTAGCTGCCTGGCAGCAAATTTATTATTGCTGCTGCTGCTTCCACTACTGGTGGTGCTGCTGCCGCTCAGGAACCTCTCTGCAGTACTGGCGGCTCGGTTGGCTGGGCCGCGAAGGGCTGCTGCTGCTGCTGCTGCTGCCGTGCTGCCGGTGCGACTGTTCGCTGCATGCCTGACGGGAGGCAGCAACGCGACGCAGCAGTTGCGCATGCTGTCAACAGCCACAGCCTTCGCGCCCCTAGGAAAGGGGCCTATGGCTGGAGGCGATGGGTCAATGTCGCCCTCGGACAACCGACAGGGCGACGTTGCCGTTGCTGTTGCTGCCGCTGCTGCTGCTGCTGTTCCCGTTCCCGCTGTTGCCTTCGGACTTTGTGACTCCTCCGGCCCTTTGTCTTGCCGCTGCTCTTGCTGTTCCTGCTGGGTTTCGCCTGGTCCGGCAAGCATTGCTGCAGCGTGCTTCACACAGGAAGGAGACGGAGAAGGAGTTCGGGAGGCCTGATGCTGCTGCCCTAGGGCAACGGAGGCGAGGTTTCGCAACTTGATTTTTCTTCGCATTTCTTCGTTGGTGGTGAGGAACCTGAGAGTATGTTGCACGTCTTGTGTGGACATGATGCTGCGGCAGATAGCAGGGATAGAGGCAGAGGGAAACATCTCTCTCAGTTGCAATACAGACTCTACTGGGGGGCAGTTCGTAATATAAAAACGGTGGCGGCTGCGAGAACGCCGCGATGCCTCCGCAGTGCGGCTCTGCAGTAGGCCATCCAACGGCAGTGGGGTCGACGATCCCGGCACCAGCAAAAGCAAGCTGTCAACAGTTTGTACAGTGCTGCCTTCTCCCCTGCTACAACCCGCTCCACTCCGCACCACACTGCTGCTGCCGCTGCTGCTGTTCTTGTTGCTGCTGCTGCTGGACGGTTGTTCCTTGCTGCTGCTGCCCCGGCTTCCTCCCCCGCCAAGCTTGTGCATGGTGAAGGCATACAAGCATTCCCCCGTCAAGTTCAAGTAGCGGAATGCGGCCTCCGCCTCCCTGCTCTTGGAGGCGACAGCCGCAGCTGTTGCGGCCATTGCTGCTGCTGCTGCCCCCTGTCCCTCGCTGCAGCTGCGTGCGAACCGAGCACCAAGTTCCTGTTGCAGTTCTGGGGTATCGTCGTCCTGTGGTGAGTCTCCCTCCAGTAGCTGCAACGTCGATGGGCTAAGCCCAGGAACTGCACCAGAAGGGCTGTGAGAGGCGGCGGAGGGGCTGGGACACTTTTTGCTGAGCCCCTCTTTGCATGCGCTGCTGTTTTTCGCTTCCATACTGGGGATACCCCCTTCTGTGAGGTGTGCCAGGAGGTAAGGCAAGAACCACGCGAAGAGCTCACACAGCTGTGGGGTGCAGTTCAGCCAAAAAGGCGACTGGCTGTGAAGCATCAGCGTCCTAGCAGCTTTAAAGGAGCCCCAGGGGTCTTCCCCCGGGGGCAGCTCTAAGGCTCCCACCTGCGCCTGCTGGCGCTGCAGCAGCTGCTGCTTCTCCTCAGCATAGTCGCGGCGATACACCGCAGTCACGTCCAGCTTCTCTATGAACGGCTCCCAACACCCCGCTTTCGCATTCAAGTAATCGAGGCCGCACGAGAAATCACGCAGAGCCACCTGGAGCTGTGATGCGGTAATATCGAAAATCAAACCACCCGCTGCCAGACGCAGCTGCAGCACAGGCAGCACAGAAGAACGCAAGTCGTCGAGCAACAGCAACTGAGCCCCCTCCAGACACAAAGTTATCTTAGCTGTACGCTCCACAACAGGAGGAAGCTGCGGTAAAACACGCTTCTCCCCATCCTCCTGCGGCTCCTGCTGCTGCTGCTGCTGCTGCTGCTGCTGCTGCTGCTGTGCACACGTCTCAGGGAAGCGGATAGGAGGAGGCTGCTGCGGAGGACAGACGCTGGGGCCATCCGAGTGCAGGCCCTGGGCAGCAGCCAGCAGGAGCGCCATGTCTCTGCTCGAGACCCGCAGGAAGAAAACTGCAATCAGAAGATCAACCAACACCCTACCCGGACATAATCCCCAGCCGAATAACACAAGAAGCAGGCACAATCGACGCGGAAGCAGCAGCACCAGTTATTGCAGGGACACCAGAGCAACGAGAAACCGCAGCAACAGCGCATACTACAGCAGCGGCCACAGACCCCAACGCCAGCTGCAGAATCGGCAGCAACAACGGCAGCAGAAGCGGCAATAACAGCAGCAGCAACACCACTACCAGGACCAGCAGCAACTACAACGCCAGCATAAGGGCACCTAGCGTACGCGGAATATCAAAAGACAGGTCGATGAAGGTCAACACGCGATTCTGGGCCTTTGCCCCCACCTCTTCCCGTTCGCCTGCTACTGTGCTCTGCTTCTGCTGCTGCACGCCCTCCTGATCTGACCGATGCTTCCCACCTTGCTGCTGCTCCCGGCGCTGCTGCTGTACAGATGAAAGTGCGCCATCAGTCCCCACGTCCGTGTGCTGCTGCTGCTGCTGCTGCCTACGAGCTGCAGCAGTCGGCCCGCTGGATAGAGGAGGGGCGCGTCTCCCTCCTGGGGCAGAGATGGAGCTTGGAGGTAGCTTTGCAGCAGCGGCAGAGAAGGCTTGCTGCATTCGATGAACAGCTGCTGGCACCCTACCATGGCTTCTGCGCGGCGTGGCAGAAGTAGCATCTTGGTGCCCCTGCTGCTGCTGCTGCGGCTGTTTCGGCTCGCTTGCGTCATCAGGCGCCACAGTCGTCGAGCGGTAGACGCCTCTTCCCTCGAGATGAAACTGTTCACATAGCAGCACGGCGCTGGAAGGATCCGTGCTGGGGGCTAAGCGATCGGGAGCAGGGCCTCCACCCGAGACCAGCTGTTGCAGCTGCTGCAGCTGCTGCAGCTGCGTCCAGTCGCGCATCATTTGCTGCTGCCTGGGCCGCTCCTGTTGTTTCCAGTTGGCCTCTGCAGCTGTTCCTGCCGACTGCTGCCGCACGCAGCTAGGCAAGCCCGTGGACTCGAAGCTGCAGCCATACCTGTTACTGCTGCTACTGCTGCTGTCCGTGCTTCCCCAGCGGACAGTTCTCGCATCGGCAGATCCGTGTTTGTCGGGTCTGTGTTCTTCTGTTGCAGCATCAAATGAAACAGTAGGCCCAGGAGGCTTCTCCATGCTGCATGCACCGGTACTGGGACTGTCTTGCGCTGCGCGAGACCGCGACCTGAGAGGCGCTGCATGCAACGGTGCAGCATTGAAGCGGCATATTTTGCTGCCGAGGACCTCAACGCGTTCAAATGCAATCTCGTCGCCCTTCATGCTTAGATCAACGAGGAAGTCGCTAGACCAAACAATGATAGGGGCAGCAGCAGACTGCAGCGCACTGTACACCACGAAGCAGCCCCTCTGGATGTTCACAGACACCCGAAAAGGCCGCTCTCTGAGCGCCTCCCCAGACAGCAACAAAGAGATCGCATCACCCCGCCCGTTGTCGGTAGCCTTGGCTCCACCGGACGCCTCCCTAGACCTCTTCTCTCCCTCAGCCTGTTGCTGCCGCTGCTGCTGCTGGTGTTGCTGCTGGTGTTCTGCGTTTTTCAGCAGAGTTGGCAGAGGTTTGGGGTAGGAACGCATGGAACTGAACGCCCAGGAGGAGGTGAAGTAGCTGAGGATGTCCATGAATGCAACAAGGAGGAGATAAATGGTGACACCCGAAAACTGGAATTCCATATAAGACTCTCTTAGTGATGACCCGAACTCAAATTGCACCGCAGGCGCCCTGTTGCTGCGGCTCTGGAGTGTATCGACAGCTTCTGAACCGTCGCTCTCTTCGTTGCCTTGGCTGTCTCCAGCGTCCCCGCACCAGCTGCTGTCCCTACTGCAGCAGGTGCTGTCTCCGTAGTAAGTGTCTCCGCTGCAGCAGCTCTCTGCTGCCCCGGGTGCTGTACAGTGAGCGACGCGTTTGAAGTAGTTGGCGCTGTTGGTACGGAGATCATCGATGCTGAATTCTTCTGCACACAGCAAAAAGCGGTAGCAAGACAGCAGCCGCGAGACCGAGGCGGCTACTTTTGCTGTAATGCGGTGGAGAGACAGCAGAGCAAGAGGGGCCTCCGAACCGAACGACGCCTCAAGTGTCAGTTGAGGTATTACAATATGACATTCGACAGCTAGAGGAGGGGTCTCCAGCTCTCGGCGCAAAGCTGCTTCGTCAACACAGCCCCCCACAGAACCGCTCGTGCTGCTGTCTCCTGCTGCTGCTGGTGCTGGTGTTGCCCCGGGGGAGGCCGGGACGGGCAGCACTTCTGCTGCAGGCCTGTAGCCTTGTCCCCCGATGTTCTCGTTGATGACGTCTAAGACCAGAGTCAGCTGCTGCCGCGAGAGATGCAGCAGCCACGCGGTTGTCTCTGCTTCTATAGACAACGAATTAGGTGCGCTGCGGAGCAGCAAGCGCGCCTCTACATTCTCAAGGAGACAGCCTCCTGCTGCTGCCTCCTGCGTGTTGTCGCTCGCGCTGATCTGCATACCCCGCATCTCTAATCTTAAGTCCGAGCAGACCACCTCACCCTGGGCCCCTTCAGATCCCCACTCTCCGCTGCTCCCTGCTGCTTGCACGCGGTCTCCTTCGCTTAGCATCGAGACAAATGCATGATCACCAAACGACGGAGGACGCAGGAGACCTGCAGCGAGAAACTCATTCTGCTGCTGCTGCTGCTCCTGCTGCTGCGGTACGTGGTGAGGGTGATGGCTGGATACCGCCGGAACGTACGCGTTGTGCACTTTGAGATTTCCGAGATCAAAGACGATGAACCGCCCCAAATGACTCACCTCCACCTCCATCTGTGAAGGATCTGTTGCTGCAACTGCTGCAGTGCGACCTGTAGGTGCCGCAGGACCAGCAGCAGGACCAGCATCAACAGGAGCAGCAGCCGACTGCTTCTGCGTGCGCCCCAGCCTCTTCTTGGGCACTCTGTACCCTGGGGGAGGCACGTACCCTGGAATGGCTTCCTTATCCTCTGCTAGAATGAACAGAGGGGACTGAATATCTAAGGCAAAGAGACAGTAAGAGGCCGTGGCAGCCTCCCTCACTGCTCTGTACGACTTGGAAATAAAAACATCGAAAATGCCGTCACGCAAATAATTCAAAGTCCGCGAGACATCCTGCTGCCGGTACACAAAGCATATTTGTTCCATCTGGCCTTCAAGACAAATCGAATATGGTAGAGGGGCCCCCGATATCGGATCGGGGCCCCCATACTGACGTACACGAGCGGTAAACAAAGACCCAGAGGGAGCGTCCTTCCCCTCCTCAGCTCCTGCTGATCCTGCTCCTTCTGGAGCACCTCCAGCCTCCGCAACGCTTACAGCTGCTGCAGGTACTGCAGCAGGTGCTGCTGCAGTATCACACGCTCTGGGTGAGGAGGATGCAGCAGTTGCCCCAGGCCTTGCTGCAGTTTGTGCTGCAGCGTGCGGGGCTCTTCGCGGCTGGTGCTGCGCTGGGGGTCTGTAGGCAGCACGTGGGGCTAAGACGCATCTGTCTCTAAAGACGACGCCTCCGTCTCCAATTGCAAAAGTTGTTTCCGTGTCGCCATTGGAGTAGAAGCGGCTGAAGGCCCTCAACTCCTTTAAAGCCATCCGAGCCAAGACGGAATCATTCGTCTCCCAGAACGCGATCGCAAACTCCCGAAACGTCAGAGTTAGCTCCAAACCCACATGCGGCATCTGCTGGTGCAGCGCATGCTGCAAGCCCTTCTGGTGCTGCTGGTGCTCCGTTCCTCCGGGTGTGCCTGCTGCGCCTGCTCCTTCAGCTGTTTCACCTCCTGTAGCAGCAGCAGCAGCTCCGTCCTGCGCGGCTTTCCATGTTGCATCGCAGCACCGGTGGATCGCCAGAGGGGGGAGAACGCCCCCTAAGTAAAGTCCCGTTCGAAGCCAGTCTCGCCCTGAGGAGGCTGTGCGCAGCAGTTGTGCATTGCTGCTGCTTGCGCGGCTTTTGCTGCTACTGCTGCTGCTGGTACGTTGGGTGTCTGCTGCGCCTCCCTGTACGCCTTCCCCGTCCGCCCCGAAGGACAGCGTCTGCTGTACTGTCTGCAGAGTGTCGTGCACTGCAGCAACTGTCTCCTTTGACAGGAGGCCCCGGGGCCCCACAGCAGCAGCTGAAGCCTCCGAAAGTTCGTCTAGATGCTGCTGCACCCGGCCGCGAATGGTATCTCTGTACAGCTCCAAAGTCTGCAGGATGCGACGTAGACTCTGCTGCCGCCAGTGCAGCTCCACTGGCAACGAGGTCACTGCAAGTGTTGCCTTCGGAGAAGCACCAGCAGCAGCAGCAGAAGCAGCAGCAGCATCCGCTGCTGTTGCATTTGCAACGGCAGCTGCAGCAGCTGCTGCTGTCGGGGAATCAGGAGTGGTGGCAGCTGCTGACGCCGCACTCCGTGTTGCGGTTATTGTGCTGCTCGTGCCTAGCAGCACCTCTAACTCTACTCTTAAGCTTTTTTCCATGTCTTCTACAGCATCATGGAACTCCTCCTCTTCTGCTGCACCACCCAAAGAAACGACGCTGCGCAGCGGCAGACTGCCGCTGCGCCCCAAGCCGATGCTGCTGCGGCTGGTTGCCAGCTCCGCCTGAAAGGCAGCAGCATCAGCATCAACAGAAGCAAAGAAGAACCACTGCAACACACCACCGGCCCACCCCTAAACAAGCTGAAAGCATAACCCTCGCCCGATCACAGCAGAGTTAATAATGCAGGCCCAAGCAGCGGCACTGGGAGATGGAGGGAGAGGAAGAGAAAGCACCAGGAAGGCATAAAGGCAAGCACTCACAGACCTCACACACACACACACACACACACACACACACACAAAACAAGCACGCGCACTCTACGGAGACAGGAACTAAACAGATATATGCATGCAGGGAAGAGACAGAAACTGCACACATATGCAATGAAGAGGCACAAAACGCGCAAGCATGCATAAAAGATACAGACACAACACACACGCACGCACACACTAAGCAGACAGAATCAAAGGCGCACAAAAACGCTAGAGACGCACAACCATACCCCTGTATGCATTCTCCCCAACAACCCGCCCCCGGAGGTGCAGGAGACAATGTGCGCGTGTGAAAGCAGCAGCAGCAGCAAAACCAACAGCAGCAGCAGCAAAAGCAACAACAGCCGCGGCAAGAGCAGCAGCAAAAGCAGGCAGGACCACGAGCTGCCGCAAGAGCAGCAACAACAGCGGAGCCCTCTCCCCGACTCTACTCACGCTGTCTGCAAGGTTATTGCTGGCATTGTTTTGCAACGACAAGAAGAGAGGGGAATCGGTGGAGGGGTCTGAGACGAGGACTTGATGAAGTTCAGCAACGGCCCCACATCTGCCGGAGGCAAAGTCTGCTGTCAGCTGCATCTGTAGATCGGTCAACTCCGCCTGCAGCACAGGAGGCCCCGTCTCTCCTGCTGCTGCTGCCGCCGCTTTTGGTGCTGCAGCGGCATTATCCCTCTCCGAAAGTCCTCTTATCAAAAACCCGCAACGGCCAAAACGCCACGTTGACGCAAATACCAGCTGAGACCTTGGCTCCGTATCAGCGCTGCTGCTGCTGCTAGGGTTTGCAGCGTCCGCGGCTGTGTCGCTCGGAACCGCGTCATCGCCGCTGCAGAGAACGTCTGTCTCCTCACCAGCCCCAGTCAGTGCTGCATCTAGAAGAGACGGTGGGCCTGCAGGAGGCTCTGTTGCTGCATGGGTTGCGTCTGCTGCTTCTACTGTTGTTACTGGTGGTGCTGCTGCTGAAGGTCCTGTGACTTGAGGCGGTGACAGTGCTGCAGCTGCCGACCCTGCTGCTTCCCCTCGGCCCCCGGCGTCCTCGAGTGCGGGTTGGTGCTGCATCAGAGGCGCCGTTGCTGATGTTTTTCCTGGGTGTTCTGCTGCTGCCCCTGCTGCTGCTGCCGTTGCTGCTGTTTGTGGTTGTAGTAGCCTGCTGTTCTGTGTAGCTGTTTGTTGGGGTCGCGCTTGCAACAGCGACTTGGCCATGGAAGCAGGTACAGCAATGAGGAGCCCAATGGCTTCGGGTGTGAGTTCAAGGAAGATTTCTTCGAAGAGAATATTGAGGCGGATATCTTTCATCTTAAGAACTTCTACATGCATACGAATGGGTATGGGCCGCAAGATAGACACCTCCTGGTGGCCTGTCGGGGCGCAGATAAGCCGCGTCTCGTTGAACTCCAAGACCCCTCTGAGCGCATCATAGGGGCAGGGGCCGTCTGACCGCAAAGAAAGCGTTCCCAAGTGCAGCGCGACGCTCCCTGCTCCTTTTCCATCTAAATTCAATATCGGAGCGGCTACCAACAAATCTAATTGCACCAGATCAGGCAGATGCTGCACTGCTGCTTCGTACACCGTCTCACCCGTCTCCCGCAGGCCCTCCACAAACTCGCTCTTACGCATCTCGTCCACTTCAGTAGCCACTTTGCTGCTGTTGCTGTTGCTGCTGATGTCGCGCAGCCCTTGCTGCTCGCCGTCAGCACCCGCTACCCAGCTAGATCCATCAGCAGCAGAAGCAGCAGCAGCTGCAGCACCTGCAGCGCGTCGTTCCTCCTCCTCCTCCAGGCGCCTCACGTCTGCCGGCGTTTCAAAGACGAAAAAGTCGCACAGAGTCCTCACCAACTCCGGCTTTATTGCTGCTACCAGCGGGGCCAGCCGAATGTACACCCCCAAGATATTCCCCGTAGGTGTCAAATCGTGTCGCAGCTCCAGCCGCGCAGCTGTCAGGCAAGAAGCAGCAACTCCTGAAGGAGGGGAAGCTGCTGTTACGGTGCTGCTCCGGCTATAGTTCCAGGTGCTGCTGCTGCCGCTACTACTTCCCCAAATGCCGCTGTTGCTACGGCTGCTGCTGCTGCTGCTGCTGCTTCCGCTGCTGCTTCCGCTGCTGCTGCTGCTGCTGGTTAGAGAGCTGTCGCTCTCGCCCGACGCTGCGCTGCCCAGCATCATCAGCCGACGGCGGTGGGATGAGTTCCTAGGTGAATCTCCTGCTGCTACGACAGCAGCAGCAGCAGGAGTTAAGGGTGCAGCCGGCGCTGCTTCGTTATCTCTGCGAAAGTGCATGAGCAGGTGCGACTGCTGCCTCACAGCAACGTTAGACAGAGAAATACAGAAAGACCACTCGCTGCTGTCCCGGCCAGCTGCGTCTTGTCTATTCAGCAGATCTAAAGCCGCACCCAAGTTGAAGAGCTCTACAGACAGAAACGCCTTCTCCGCGGCAGTGTCGCTGCGCAGACAGCCGGCGCCACCCCCTCCTGCAACAGCAGCAGCTGTTGCTCCCGCGTTGCTTGCTGCTACTGCTGCTGCCAGGAGGTTTGGAGGGGGCGGGGGCTGCGGGAATTCGGGGGGAAAACACTTGGAGGCCTCTTTGGGGGAGTATCCGATGGCCTTGATGGCCCTTGCCTCTTTCAGCACTTCCGCTGTCTCCTCTTCTGCCTCCTCCTCAGGTGTCTCGTGATCGTTCTTCAAACAAATGCTAAATCGCTCTAATTCAAACGTCAGCACATATCGCGTAGGCAGCGACACGCTCTGCATCAACTCGTCCGACTGAAGGGAAAGCCACAAACAGCAAAACCACAAGACAAAACAAGGCAAGTGCAGCAGCGTACGCTTCAGGGTTTAGGGTTCACGGTCTACTGATCACGGTTTAACGTTTCTTTGGGCTGGAGTGAAGCGAAGGCAGCAAACGCCGCAGTACAACCGGGCAGACAGGCCTTCCACTGTCTGTACAGCAGCAACAACAATGGGCCTTCTCAGCTAGCAACAGTATACAGCAGCAACTAAAACGTGGGGCTGCCGCGCATGCAGGAGGGCATCGGCAACTGATAGGAGAGAATAAAAAGCCAAAGAGATACCTGCACAGCGTCTACGATGAGTTGTATGTCTTCGCTTGTCAGCAGCGGGGCATCTGTGTCTCCCCCTGCACCTTGTTGAGCCCCCTCTCCTGGCGCCAGCGTCTGCTGCTGCTGCTGTTGCTGCTGCTGCTGCTGACCCGCGGCCTGGCGCCCGGTCACCCACTGCCACCAACTCTGCTGCTGCTGACGGGGAAGCTGGCGCTGTTGCTGCAGCAGCAGCTGCTGCTGTTGCTGCTGCAGCAGTTGTGTCTGCTGAAGGACGCGGTTGGTCGCTTCTGTGCAAATGTTACGCCACTTGGCCAGCTGCACGCCCACAGCAGCATGCAATCCGGCACGCATGCACCAAGCTCGCATGCATGCATGCATGCATGCGAGCATGCGTAGAATTACGCATGCATGCATTACTGTGAGCCCCACATCACGAGCGTTTTGTTTCTATTCATACGAGTGTGCATCATCTCGGGGTTTTCTCCCCAACACGAAGAGAAGATGCCTTTAAGCGGAAGCAAGGCGAAGCGCACAGATCAGGCAACACAGAACGAAAAAGAGACGCAGCAAAATATACATATCACCGGAAACAACAGGGATAGACAAAGATACTCAATACACCCCAAATTGCCAGTGCCAAACACTGCTGATGTCTGAAGACAGAGACCCGAGTTACAGTAGACAAGGCAAGAGCAGGGAAGGAAACAACGAGGGGAGAAGAGATGCAGCAGGGACAGCCGCAGTGGACGGACCAGAAAGGCAAATGGCATCTCAACAAAAACAGTACCTAAAACCCTAAAGCTTAAGCCCTAAACCCTAAACCCTAAACCCTAAACCCATGAAAAGAGGAGCTTCCGCTCTCATCAGCTGGCAAAAGCAGCCACAACCCCTCACCGCAAGTGTGTTCATATATATAACAATAAACCCTAAACCCCCACAGCCTAAACCCTAAACCCTAAATCCTAAACACTGATATCTAGCTCACGTGTCTGACGCCGACAACGTCATGGAGAGTAAGGAGTCTCTGCTGTTCCTTTTGAGTGAGTGGAGCGACACCTCGTACTCCTGCTTCTGCTTGAAGTTGTCTGCTGTAAAGGCCAATGAATTCTCTTTGCGTTTTGCCTTCAAGTCCTTCAGTGCCTAGCATAACGGTGTGGGCCTGGCGCAGCAGCAGCTGCTCGCAGCGTTGTCTTCGTTGTGCTGCTTCATTCGATATGGCTAAGAGGGCCTCAAGGTGGGACCTGCTGATTTCTATGCCTTGGCTCTCCCGCAGCACCTCCAGCCGCGCCTCCAGCTCCTGCTGCTCTGCTGCATGCGATACAGTCAAACGAACATGCAGCGGCTTCAACACATACTGACTGCGGCCCCCAACTCCCCCGCTGCCCTCAGGCCGAGGCCACGCAAATGAAACACCAGCAGAAGACCCTCCGCTCCCTGTCGCCGGGGCCCTCACAGATCCTCCCAGGCCGGCTCCTGCTGCTGCTGCTGTTGTTGCTGCTGCAGATCCTGTTGCGGAGAAGGGGCTTCCTGTTTCCCCTTTATGGCAAAGGAAGCCGCCTCCTTCAAGGCCCCCAGGGGATTCCAAAGAAACCGCAGGCCCCACGGGCAGATAAGGAGCCTGCGCATGCACGCAGCGCATGCAAACGGCAGAACTTGGCCCCACTCAGCACCGCAGCAATTTAGCCGCACCGTGCACGAGCATAAGCAGCAGATGACGCACAACAAACAGAGTTAAATAACGTACCTTAGACATAGAAGGCCGTCGCTCCTGGCCCTCCCCTCCCTCCTCTATACCCTGTCCTGCAACTGGTGGGGGGCCCCCATCCTGGGGGGCCCTGTCGCAACCCGCTGAGCCAGCCTTTGTCAACTGCTGCCCTTCCGCTGCTGCTGATGCTGCTGCTTCTGCTGCTGCTGTTGCTGCTGGGGAGCCGGCGGGAGGCGGAGAGGACGGAGGGGGCGGCGGTTCAGATGGAGGCGGCGGAGGGACGGCTGGCAGCGGCAGTGCTGTAGGGAATGCCTGTTGCTGCTGCAGCACTACCTGCTGGTGCTGCTGCTGATGCGGCCGCATGCGTTGTTGCTGCTTCTGTTGTTGGGAGTTGGCGCCGTCAAGTGCGCAGTAGATGGCGAGGCCGCTGAGCTCGCACGCCTTGTAGAAAGCCTGTCGTTTTTGCTGTTGCTGCTGCTGTTGCTGCTGCTGCTGCGGCTCGTTGCGCCTCCACGCTGCATCGGTGTTGTGTATGGACGCCTGAGCCAGCAGCACTCCTACAGAGAATCCCCTATTGGGGTCGACGAGGGCAATATGCACATCTCTGATATCAACTAAGAGGTTGCTGAGTATTTTGTTAACAAAGCGGAAGAAGAAGCCTCCGTCTCCCTCCTTGCTTGTGCTGCTGCTGCTGCTGCCTGCAGCAGCATGTTGCTGACTCTGTTCTGCAAGCCGGAGCCTGGCATCGTGCATCTGCAACTCGCAAGCCTCCACTTGTCTGCTCTTTGCTAGCCTGAGTTGTTGGATGAGTTGTTCATCGCTTTGTTCAGGTATAGGTTTGGGGTGCAGCAGCACATGTAGGCCTGCGACTTCTAAACAGACAGGAGCCGTTCCCAGCCTTGACCATGGTATTGTTAATTTAATTTTCTGTACGCGGCCCCACACCACCTGAAAAGGAATGCCGAGGATATCAGAGACCTCCGGCTTCACCTGAAGGTCTTCTAGCTCTACATTGCCACTCCATACAGCTACAGACAACTTATCGCGGCTGATGCCCCTCACATACTGCGCGAGGTAGCGACTTAGCAGCCGCTCAAGCACCGACTCCAGCATCTCTCCCCGCTGCTGCTGCTGCTGCAGCAGCAGCAGCAGCTACACACACCCGACGCAGCCGCGAGGCAGGCACGCTTCAGGCACCGAAGGCTGCAAATACAACTGAGCATGAGAGTTGCATCTTCTCTACAACTGCATGCACCACGGAGAGAAAGAAAGAGAGAGCATCCCGAGACAACCCAACGCTAGCCCGAAACACCGAACGGCAGAGTTAATGGCCTGCTGCAGCATTCAACAGCAAATAAGACACACATGTGAGCCCTTAAAAGCCCACGCAGATGCTGCCGCAGATGCTGCCGCAGCTGCTGCTCCCGTTGCTGCTGCTATCGCTGCTGCTGCTGCTGCTGCCCCCAGAGGCAAGGCGTGGGGTTGCTGCTAGTGCAGAGCAGCGCCTTCAAAGCAGCGTGGCAGCTGCTGCCTGGGGTATGGGATGTGTTGGAACTCGGCAGGGCAAATCGGCGGGAGAGATACTGCACAAGTACAAGTAGATTCGGCGGCCGGCTAACGCGCGTTGCTGCACAACGGAGGATGCGGTGCTGCTGAGCAGTTGAGAAGAAACAGGCAGTACCTGAGGGTTCTTAGGCAGATGCATGCAACTTCCACAACTGCCTGGGGCTGTATGAAGGCCAGGCGGCCCTTTCAGGCCGTCTTGTTGCGGAGGTTCAGTAAGTACACAGGCCGCAACACTACTGGGTCATAGAGGAAACCGGCGCGGATTTAGGAGTCGTTTCAGGTCGACGAACAGCGACAGTACGCTGTCCAGTTCTATGGACAGATTTTGTGGTTTTTAGAGTTCTGGTTCGAGGGAAGCTTCAGACCCATTGCAGCATGCAACACAAGCCGCTCACCCTTGTAATTCTGGCATGTGTTGCTTGCTGGGGGCTCAAGTTGAGAACGCCTGGCCATATATATTGGATAATTTCATGAAATGATTGATCTTTTAGAAGGAATTTAATCAATTGCATTAACACAAATGGGGCGGGGACCGGCGCTCTCGGCTGCCGCAATCGTTGGCTGGCCGCAGCCTCAATGGCGTTCTTTGTTGTCTTTGTTCCGTTCTGTGCACGGCAAGTGAAATTTCGAATATAGAGTGGTTCATATGAAGAAAGGGTATGAAAACACCAAAAATATGGGTCATTAATACCCTATCAGGAACAGAGGCGTGGAGCGGAGGGGGGTGGTGGCCTAAATGCCTGCGGCGGAAGTTGGGTGTAGGATCTGGTCATCAAAATCGTTTATTCACGCATTTATTTTCAAATATATTTGTTAAACAAGCAAAGGCGCAGCAAACTGCCAATACGTTGCAGCCGGGTTTTCGAGTTGTGGGTTTCGAAAGCGAGCGAGGCTGTTTGCCGTTCAGTGCTTCTTCTTCATAAAAAGTATCCAATAATATCTTTAATAATGCATGTAAATCAGTCTTTTGTCCCATATTTTCTTTTTAAGCAGTGTGTATTTATATCTTCGTTCAGATATGTCCTCTTTACTCGCCCATATGGAAGGCATACAGCAAATGAGGATCAGTGGGTAGAGTATTTAAATTCCAGCTCATAGCTTCATAAAATTAGAAAACACCTCACGAACATGTATAAAGCATGAGAAGGTGAGGCTTGGCTTATTATACGTTATCTATTATCTCCGCCGTTCCCTGATGCTCCATCTTCTATTCCCTTACTTTGTATTTCCGCCCCTTCTTTGGCCATGACGAGAAGAAAAGGTGACAGAAGAAGGAAGTACTATTTTTCTCGTTACACTGCAAGGGTACTTTCACAGTTGCTGCGGCTTGCAGCCTTCGTGTGGAGGTGTTATCTTGGAATGAGAATAAGAATACGGTAAATGTACAATACTAGGTTGGAGTACAGTAGACCGACCGTACTCCTAGATTCTTGCCGAGGATGTATTTAAAAAAACAATTAACAACGTATCTGAGTTCTGTTGGTTCCTTCAGTAACTCCGCCGTTGCCTGGCGGGGCTGCTGTGGGCTCCTCTCAGATGCAACTGCAGTTTCTTCTCGCTGCCGCTCCGTAGTCTTCAGCAATTCAACAACATTCCCAGCTGAAGGGAGGAAACATAGGCTCCTTCCACCAGCAGGTATCGCGCAATGCGCATACGTTGACCTCAACGCTTGTACTTAATTGCATTTTCTCCATTTGCTTAAAAGGAAATGGAATACAGCTGTGGGCAGCGCCGTCGAGCCACCTAACTAGCAGCTGAGAACACAGCACAATCATCGTGGAGCTAAACGCTTTCTGTACTGACGTCTGCTTGGGCTAATCTCGGGGCTGTAACTTTCTTTGAGTCCTGGTGCTGCTTGAACTTCAGTAGTTAACCACGGATTGGCTGATATAGTTAATGACTATCGTGATATCAGCTGTTGCTTTTTTCCATAGAGACCTTGCTCTGAGAAGCCCTGTTTCTAAAGCGTTTTGATCTTTTGTATTTGCATTCTTCTTTCCTCGCAAGAGACGACACCTTTTGCTCCCAACATGACTGTTAGTTGCAGTCATGCACTCACCGCTTTTTTTTCTTCTGCTGGAAATGATGTGAAGAGTGTTGCAGTATTTTATTCGGCCATTGTGGGAATGTGAATCTCTTGCTTATGCCCGAGAGAGTCGAGAGCATTGTGGCTGTTCAACTTGATCGTTGACTCTGAGCCCAAAATCGCCATGCACTAAAGATCGTCTATATGAATTGCATTCACTGTCGTCATTCTGCCTTTCTCGCTATCAGCCGTTTCTGGTCCCTCTTCCTCTCTCACGGTCCACTGGCTAGTGGAGGGCGTGCAAGGACATAAGACGGTCTTTTTCACATGAACAGTTGTCTACGGAGCGGCTCATGCATCGAAAGAAGGCTTCTTTATACTTGCCTGTGTGGCCGCCTATAGGAGACATGACAGGGGGTAGGTGAGGCGTTTGCCGGCACCACATACACACATACATTATGCCAGAGTGTAGCCTTTCAAGGGGAGGGAACTCGTAGGCCAATAGATGCGATGGTCAAAGACTGACAGCTACGAGGTTATACAATTCAGTATGCATGCAAAAGACCCTCGGAGTGCAGTCAATCCGGCGGTGCCTAGCGAATTGAGGGAACAGCGGGGCGGTGAGGTCACCTCTAAGGAACCCCAATTTGTTTTGCCCGCACGGAGCAGGGTATTTTTAGCCTTTTGCTCCGTTTTCAAACTTCGGGTGTTAACGCCTTTTCATTTTGAAGGAGAACAATCTATATTAGCAAGAAAATCGCGGAGGACGCAGGCCTAAGTATCCCTACAAGTTTCATCGTTGCCTTGAGGGGTTGGCATTTGAGGCTGTTTCTATGTTTTTCTGGTAATCTTCTCCCTTAAACCCCTTCCTCCTTTCTTATCGTCTGAAATCAGTCATTGTATCTCCGGCCGTTTGTCGACTTGGGGATTATTGTGAAATGCAGCAAACACAACCGCAACACAGTCCACCGTGCCGCTGTCTCGGCCGCAGTACTCTGCTCCAGTGCTAGTGGAATGGAACGAATGCTGCATTATAAATGATTTATTTCCCTTATGCTAAATTTCTTTTTATACAACTTTAAAACAAAGTGGCGGTTTTTCATGCGGAAATTCTTTACAGAACACCCGCACGCACACACCACCGACAGCATTCAACGCCGAGCAACCGCCGAGCATCAGAACGGGGCTCCGACACTGGCTGCGACTGTTGTTGTATTAAAAAGATATTTAAAAATGAATGTTCAGTTTTTTGACTGGGGAGGGTTTGCTCGAGGGGCGTGAGGAGGAAGGAAAGGCCCTGTTGTCGCGGATCGGCCGAGTTTTCCCACTTTCCCTGCATATCTCTGAGGCTACGTGTTTGTCAGCAGCAGCCGCAGCTTAAAGAGGAGAAACTGGAAGTGTTTCTTCTCGTCTTGTTCTTTGTTGCTGCGACCTTTTCTTCTTCTCTCTCCCCTCATGGCCACCAAGGTCCTAGCCGTCGGTGTGTGCTTTATAGCACTCGCAGCTGCCTCTGCACTGCAGGTAAGAGGAAGCTTATTGTGTTATTGAATGCATTTCTCTTAGTGCTACAAGAGGCTATGAATGCACAAGTTTGATGTGCAGCTCATGAGGGCCCCACTGGCAGCAGATGAACTCTAACGAGCGAGTTTAACACAAACAGAGCTGCATCAATTGACAGGACTTGCAGCAATGCAACAAAAGTTGTAGTGGAGGAGATGAGGATTGCTGCTGAAGCGATGATGCAACTGCAGCGGTGCTTCAGCCGTTTCCTGTGAATCTCGTGTATGGTGAATACATAAAGGGATACATTTACGTGTAAATAACCTAAATAGCTACGTATATTTTACATGTAGATATATATATATATATGCACCTTTTACTTGCAGCATTTGTACTACGGCGACCTCTCTGTAATAGAAAACCTGTACACTATCTTGGCGTACCTTATGGCCCGGCCCCAGTACCTGCTCCACCTTAATGGTATAAAACACTTTCGCGAGCGTTCAGACGCGTAAGGCTTTTGCATAGCGCGAAAGAGGCAAATCAATGCATATATAATATATATATATATGCATTTGTATATATTACATAATACGCACTGGGGGTTCTGCCGCTACTGCGACCGTTTGTTCTTCACTGTTAGCAACACTGTACACCCTCCCGATAGCGTTAATCTTGCGTTGCCGCTCTGAACTCACTTAGCATTAATAGCAATAAAAACACCACAAGTTGCTTTGGTTTCCTGTTCTGCTGGCTTGCAGGGCCATGGTGGGCTTCGTGATGCGCGAGTCGCAGGCTGTTGCCTTTCGCGCGTCATTAACGCTGGAGGCCTCTTACAAATCATATTTCGAAGAAGATGGCAATGAAGCCTGGGCGGCAGCTCCCAGGAACCCCTTAGAAGTGCTTAGCTACGAAGAAGTGTATGTACAGCGCAAACTGCAACCACCAACAGACCCTGAATCCGTCATCATCGACAGGCCCCATTCCTTTTCTGCAGAAACCCCACCGCAGCTGCTGCCACCGCATCCTTTGCATGCGCCTCCTCCTTTGGACTCCGATAAGACCCAAAATGCTCAGAAGACGAACACCATCGGCCTACATATATACACCCCAGTTACTTGTTCCACAGCGCCTGACTTGCCTTCTTCTTCCTCTGAGGCATCTGCTTCTTGCAAGGAGTTTCATCAGCAGCTCTATTACTCAACTCGGAAAGCAGAGAAGATAAAAGGCATTCTTTCTTTCGAAATGCAGGCAGAAGCCATGAACGTAGAAGGGCTGCAGGAAGCAGCTCCTCAAGCGGAATATCCGGTACTTCTTCGTTGTCTTTTCTCTCATAAGCTGAGAAAGAAGCATTTAATATACACAAGTACTAGAATGATGCTGCTCATAATATGTGCATCTGGTGCAAGTGCTACTGAAAAAGGGTTTGTATATAGGGCTTAAATGTATGTTTGCACGCTGAGTTTTCTGGAGTTGTTATGCCTGTACAGAAGCAACGATCTCCTGTTCTCTTCTTCTTGCATGGAGGAGGGTTGGTGGGCCTGTCTACTGCTGCCTACGATAAACTCATCCGCCGTATGACAAATCTTTTTGGGGCGATTGATGGTGTTGTTATATCCATCGACTACAGGCAAGAAACCCTTCACTAAACACGCAGGCACCCATCACCCCAGTGAAACACTGTTATTATTATTATCATTACTACTGCCCTTGTTATTATCATTATTGCCGTTATTATTGTTATCTATTATTATTTTGTTATTACTTCCTAGAATTCAAACCCGGAGGTGGGGTTGGCTTCCTGACTTCTTGAAGGCAGTCATAGCCCGATTCATTTATTACTTCAACTACAACCATTATTAATAATATTATATGAATAATAGTATCATAACAGTAGGCGCAGTAATAATAATGATTATTTTTATTACTTGTGTTAGTATCATACCCATTTAGTAAGCATTTTACCTACAAAGACCCAAGTGAATTCATTTGTTGATGTTTTGCTTTGTTATGCATTTCATTCAGACTCTCTCCAGAGCACAAGTTCCCAATACCAATGGAAGACTGTCTACACGCCATTAATTTTGTTGTCAATCACGCAGATCAACTCGGAGTCGACGGCAGCAAGTGCGAATTACCCCGTGCAACGAAGTGTAATTACAGCAATAATAATAAGAGGAATATGTCAACATATATATATGTATATATATGTATATATATGTATGTATATATGTATACGTGAATATATGTATTTGCAAAGATACCCATATATATATATATATATTCATGGATATGAATATACATCTACATGAATAGTATACTGCTAGATGTTGTACAATGTGTTGAATAGAAAAAATATTATTTATTTATTGCCTACTCGAAGCATCGTACAAAAGCTTTTTATTTAGCCTCAACAGCAATATTTCTGCTTGCAGATATATGACAGTCTTTCTAAACAACCCCCATCTCTGGTTCTGTGCATAAAAAGCATTCTAATTTCCTTCTCTTTTCTTATTTTGTTTTGTTTTGTTTCCTTCTGTTGTGTTTTGCTTTCTTTTCTCTTCTGTTTGCTTTTCTTCTCTGATTTTCCCTTTTATTCCTCTCTGTATTTGACGCACTTTGCAGAATAGCATTAATTGGCGACAGTGCCGGCGGCGCTTTGGTGATTTCTGTTTTGGGGGAGGCGTTGAGACTGCCTGAAAAATATCCCTGGGCACGCAACGTTTTGCATGCATCTCTGGTGTATCCTTCTCTTTGCCGGGGCTGCCCTACGAGGAGTCATCTGCTGTACGCTTAAAAACAACGACAGAAGCAACTGCTGCTGTTGCTGCTGCTGCTGTTGCTACTGCTGCTGCTTTTGTTTTTAGGGTTGCTGGTGTTGTTGTTGTTTGCTGTCGTTGGCGGTAGTGGTGTTGGTGCTTCTGTTCCGGTTGTTCTTGTTGTTGCTGTTATTCTTGTTGTTGCTGCTGCTGTTCTTGTTGTTGTTTTTTGTTGTTGTTTTTCCGGTGTTGCAATGCAGAAGAAAGGGAGAAGGGGACTAGATACACCGTGCGGTGTATCTGCACATCTCATCTGTAGACACAAAGAAACACAGACAGATCTCTTTCTCAGTCCTTCAATTTAATGAATAACGTTCGTAGAGATTCAACCTCAATATCTCTCACCGTCTGAATGCATGTGTTTGCTCTTTGTAGGTACGGGACCACACACACTCTGAAGAGTGATATTTGGTTTGCATTTTCAGTGAGTCTGTCTTTTTATGTGTGCATACACCTAACTAAACTAACCCCAAATATTTCTCAATATCTCCTGTTGTGCAATGAATTACCCTTCTAATACAGCTATATAACGAGCCTCAATTGTACGGCGCGAAGAAAAGAAATACTCTCAATACCCCTCGTCTGGTGTCTTTATGTTCATCTCCGCAGCACACACCAACCATTGGCCCTGTTTGGGATTGGCGGCAAATGCCTTTTGCAATTCCTTCAAATATTCTCTCGCAGTTTCCCTCAACAAGTTTAGGTGTGTTTGCTTTGTGTTTATCTCCTCTCGGCAGACGGTAGGAGCATTTTTCTTTCTTCAGCATTTCATAATACTCCAAGAAATTTAATACCTCCCGTTTTTAAAATCATTACCAACAACGTACCTCTAATATTATAAACCAGTATATACATATATATGCATACATACATTAAATTATTTATTTATTTACTAATTAGATGCTACACTATAAAAACCCTGAAACTGTTTTGGTTTCTTCTTCGTTTTGTACTTCGGCTGCACGCCTTCTTCGTCTCCGGAGTTTGCACGCTAATTCAGAACTTTATAAAGAAAAGACCAAAACTGCTGCTGTTTTGTTTCTTCCCTTTTTGTGCAGTTTTGTTTACCCATGATATTCAATATGAAACGGGTGTTCTCTTTCATGAACGACTGAGAAGAGCGGGAGTCTCAACGAGTTTGTTCATTGCTCCAGGTGTGTCCGTATGATTAAAAAGGCATTAATTCTTTCCTCTCCTGTTATTTACTTCATGTATCTTAGGAGTCTATTAGGAATCTGCGTAGCTTATGGACGGGTTAATGCGTTTAAAGCGGCGCTGCTACATGCATGAATTAGGGTTTAAGAGTTGGGGTGTACATTGCAACCCTTTCTAAACCCTAACACCTAAACCCTGACTCCTAAACCCCGTTTGTTTTGATATGCATGCGTTTGTGGCTTTCTTCTCTCTCTTCAGGGATGCACGCTTTCTTTGGGTCCGATTGCTGGAGTTCCTTCGGCGTACAAACAGTTGAATGGGCAATTCAACGCATTATAAAGAATTTAAATAAGCCTCCTCTGAGTCAGCACCTTCTTGCGGAGGTTCATGATAAAAAAAGTGTTGAAAAGCCTAAAGAACACACCGAATAGAGTTCAGGTGTCTACACAAATAAATGCAAAAAGCATCTATCTTTCTATTCAAACCAACATGAGTCATGTTCCACCGACTAAATATATTTTCTTTTTCTTTATACAACGAAGACAAATAAATTATTTATATTCATTCACACTATAGTTAATTAAATTAATTTTTAGAACAATTTTAAAAATTATATTTATTTTCTTCTAATTATAGATACTTCACTAAAAATTTACTTTAAATTGCAACCCATTACTTTAACTTGAAGTGAAGAGGCGCATAAGGCGTCGCCGGCTGACACATCTCAAGAAGAATAAAAAGAAAAATAAAAAGAATAAAGAAGAGCAGTAAAATTTTGTAAGGTGTTTTTAAGGGTTTGAGTTTCAAAGATAGTGTTTTTCCCTACGCACAACACTGATGCATTAGAAGGCCGTTGGGGTGTTTATCTCCTCTCTCAATAGCTCTTCCTTTTCTTAATTTTAATTGAATATCTGGGGGTAAATGGCATTTAATGCGTCATTTCCTCGCCCTAACAAATGCAAAAAATAAGCAGAAGGAGATGAGTTGCATTCTGTTTATGAAACTCAGTTAGGAGTGTGTAGGGACGTGGCTGTAGCAGTGAGTAGAGTGAATATAAAAGGAAAGCCGCAGAACTGTTTTAATATTATTTAAACAATTTCAAATTAATTTGTAGGGAATTGAATCCGAGTTAATGCAAAATGTGCGACGTTGTCGCTAGATTCAACACACTGAGAAGCAAGACGCAAGCGATGCAATTAGCAGTCATAATATTCAATTCTTCTGCTTTTAAACTTTCAAATAACAAGTATTCCCCTTCCTGTTTTAAAGGTTTTGTTTACCTTTTTAAATCTGAGCTTCGTTCCTGCGTGTTTTGCACAGAAGGAGCTATGCAGCCCTGTGGGGCAGCCGCCAGCCCCGTACTTAGAAGGATGGAATAAGAAGAGATGTTTGAATTTTGATTGAAAAAACCCTTTATTAGGGTTATTCTCGAGTTATTTGTGGCGAATTTTGGCATTTATGCAGGTTTAGCTGTCTATGCTGAGCTGCGTATACACCCCTACGCAGGCTGTTGCCAGCAGGGTGGCTGCTGCAGTCTTCTCGTTCTTGGGGTTTTACTCTTTTTTCCTTCTTTTGAAATGAAATAAGAAATACTCAATTGATGCACACAACGCTGGTCAAGCGTTGAGGCCTCCCTGCAGCTCTCAACAGCCTTCCGCTCCTTATCTGCTGCTACTGCTGCTGCTGGTGGCGCTACTAATTTAGTTTCCCTTTAGCTCTTCTTGAATTTATCTCCTTTGTACGCCGAGCAGAGATGGCGAGTGAATTGGATGCAGCTATTCGCGGCGTTCTTGTCCAGTATGCAAAGGCCAAGGGGTTAGAAGGATTTCAGCAAGAAGCAAAAGAAGAAGAAACGGAAGAAGAGGCAGAAGGAGGAGAAAAAGGAGTTAAAAACAGGCCAGCAAAACAAATAGAAAATGAAAAACATTCGAAAGTGCATGTCGATGCAACAAATGCTAAAAAAGCAAAAATTTTGCAAGTGGCGCGCATGCTGGTGGATAATGATCCCCGTATACGAAATAGAGGTATGCTTATTTCCTTCTTTTCTTCTTTTTATTCTTCTTCTCCTTCATCTTCTTCTCATTCTTACTCTTCTCCTTGCTGGTTGTGGTTTTGTTGATGTTGTTTTTCGTCTTTTTCATGGTGGCGTTGCTGTTCTAAATCTCCTAGATTCTGTATACGAAATAAAGGTATTTATAACTTCTTCTTTTCTTCTTCTTTTCGTCGTTCTCTCCTCCTTTTTATTATTAACATTATTATTGTTGTTGGTGGTGGTGGTGGTTCTGTTGGTGTTGTTTTTCTTCTTTTTCATGCTGCTGTTGCTGTTCTTCTTTTTCTTGATTTTCTGCTAATTCCAGTGTTTTTCACTGTGTTCTTCTTCTTATTCTGTTGCTTCTCCTTTTCTTCCTTCTTTATTTTTCTTTTTTATTCTTCGTTCTTTTAGAATGGCCCATTCACCACAAACCTTTGTGCAGCCGCCCTCAGCGTTTTTTTGCTTCTTATGTTCTTCTCTTTCTTATTTTCCTTTCCTTTTCTTATTCTCTTTCTTCTGCTTCCCTTTACTCTCCTTTCTCTTTTCTTTGTGTTTTTCTGTTTCTTCTCCTTCCTTTTTATCTTCCGTTTTTTTGTTTTTATTTGAGGGCTTATTTTCACTGTATGAATAGCATACACAGTAGTTTGTCTGCATGCACATCTATTTGTCTCTTTCTTATTTGTTTTTATTCTGTTTTTGTTTTTGTTTTTAAAGGAATTACTGCTGCGGGGAATTACTTAGAAAAGTCGCAGCAGCTCACAGAAGACGAAATGCTGCGAATATGGAGCACCTTATACTACGGTAAAAACATAAAAAAAACAAAGAATTGATTAATTAAAATAAACAAGTTCTTCTTTTATCAAAAGAATGAAAACAGCGAGGTTTATAAGAAAGGCCTTCTCTAATTGCATCCTGTAATGCAGCACATTAATATATATATATATATATGTATTATATGCATGCATGGTATTTATCATTATATTCTTTTTATTAAAAAAAACATGAGACAAACAACATAAAAAGGCATTAAAGCAAATGAAGAGTTTTGTAGTATAAATCAAGAAGCATTTAGTATTACTTGTTTGTTATTTTATCTGTTTTATTTTTGTGTTTTGTTTGTGTTTACTCAGCTGCATGGCTAAGCGACAAGCCGTTGGTGCAGAGGGAGTTTTTTGTTTCTGTTTCTTTATTACACCGTCGTTTGAAATACTCTTCTGTAAAGTCTCTCTTCTTCTGCAGCTTTTTTAAAGTATTAATTCAAGAGTGGGGCAAGCTCGATCGACACCGCATGAATAAATACCTTCTCTTCTGCCGCATCTTTCTAGCTGAATGGCTGCATGTTATGCAGTGCATGCACTGGGAAGAAAAGGTAAGGGCTTTTAGGTGTATGTACACTCCATATATATATATATGTATATGCATGCATATATAATATATATTGCATTGTATATACTTTGGTTTTCTTTTCTGTATTCATATTACATATTTATTCTCTATATGCATGTATATATACATACTTATACAGACATATATATATATATATATACATTTGTACATATCTATCTTCATCTATACAGTTGTATATATATGCATATATATATATATATATTGTGTTTGTGTTTAGTTTACGAAGACAGCCGTGGAGTTTTTATGCGGGGAGGTGATGCTCCGCAGCAGCGGTCGAGGAGTTGCGCTGCACTTAGCAGATATTTTAGTAGAGGAGTTTAGAGAATTAGTCAAAGCAACAGAGAAAGAACAAGACAACAAGAGAGACGGAGCTGTACTGCAGCAGCAGCAGCAGCAGCAGCGCCTGCAAGAGGTGAGCGAGACGGGTGAAGCTGCTGTTTGTTTTTTTTTATATTGAAGTGGTTTCATGTTCGTGTAAAGTAGAATCTTACGTTCGATCTCTATACGCATGCATGCAGTATGCATGCATATAGTGCATGCATACTGTATGCACACTGCAAACAGATTGCATGCAGATTACATGCATTTACTGTATGCATGCATGTAGTGCATGCATGCACATACTGTATGCGTGCATATCCTGCATGCATGCATATACTGCATGCACAGTATTTGTGTTTTATCTGCAGGGCAGCATTTGGGGTGTATGTTGAGTTGTTTTATGTTTTGTTTTTCAGGAGCGTCTTCGCGCATTTTCTTGGATTTTTGTTCCCGTTTTTCGCTGCTTTTGTTTTTCAAGAGATATGCCATTAGTGATTAGGCTGAGAGATTTTGTAGGTTTTGCCGCATGAAGTTTTAAGCAGACTTTAAAGAAGAAAAAAAGAAAAAGAAATATCTTCTTCTTTTAATTGTCCTGTCGTTGTTGGTATGTTCTTTTGTGTTTTGTTAGCTTTGTTGTGTTATTTTTTGCTTTTATTTTTTTCACCTATTTTATTTTATTTTATTTTGTTTCTGATGCTTTCTTTTCTTGTTTTTAAACTCCGGTATACTTAAATACAACCCTTATTAGCTTGAGAGAACTTCATGGATGGATTTATTTTATTTATTTTGTTTTTTCTTCTTTGATTTGTTTTGGGTGTACAGACACTCCTGAAGATGCAACCGGAAGACGTCGATTTTGAATTTGTTGCAGCGGCTGTCTTCGCTTTAGCCAGCGATAGGTGAGGGTTTTTATCAGGTTTTTATTTGCTATAAGTAATTAGTTGGTTTATTATTACTGCCTGTTCACTGGACGGGCCTAGGGTTTAGGGATTTACGGTTTAGGGTTTAGGGTTTAGGGTTTGGTTGTAGGGTTTAGGGTTTAGGGTTTAGGGTTTAGTATTCAAGTTTCTTCTTTCTCTTTTTGCGTTGTTCGGGTGTATGTACAGCCGCGTGCGCAATGAAAACCGGAAGCATCTCTTTGCCGTTCACGAACACTTCAGAGAGCGTGAGCTTCCGTTTTAGGGTTTAGGGTTTAGGGTTTAGGGTTTTAGGGTGTAGGGTTTAAGGGTTTAGGGCTTTAGGGTTTAAGGTTTTAGGGTTTAGGGCATTGCATTAAGGTGATTGTTTCTGCTGCACTTCTTTTTTTTGTTTGCAGATGCGAATGCAGCAGAAGCAGCAGCAGAAGGTGCTTCTGATGATGCATCAGCGCGGTCTGTTGGTTCTTTTACTTCTTCAACTTTCGCTAGATTGTTTGTGCAGCGAGTGATTGATGAATATAACGAAGAGCGGCAGCAAGCGCAGAAGGAGAAGCCCTGCCTCGACCTTCTTGATTATTCTCAGCAGCAGCAACGCAAGCGTCTCTTCCCTGACAGATTTGAATTAAAGGAGATAAAAACAACAGACGCAGAAGGTGTTTGTGCTGCCGATGCGGTGGGGTTGTTGGGTCCTGCTGAGCAGCAAATGGATGAAGAACTTCCAGACGAGAGTAGAAAAGAATTAGTTAAAAAGGTGAAGAAAAAGCGACGCATGCAGCAGCAGCAGCAGCAGCAGCAGCAGCAGCAGCAGCAACAGCAGCAGCAACAGACCGTGCAGCAGCAGATAGTGCAGCAGCAGCATCAAGAAGAAACTAAAAAGAAACAAACACACGATACGCAGACAATAGACACCTCGTTAGTTGAGGTGAATGAGGAGAAAAAAACAGTAAAAGGTAAACAGAAGAAAGCAATTGTTGCTGCTGCAAACAGCAGCAAAGAAGATATTCAAAACCGTTGTACGCAAGAAACCACCGCACCCAACGGCTTACGCCTGCCTATCCGCAGCAGTGGCACCAACAGCAGCAGCAACAGCAGCAGCAGCAGCAGCAACAGCAGCAGCAGCAGCACTGCCGAGAAAAATGCGCCTCGTACTTCTGAATCAGTACGAAGCTCCGCGGCTGCTGCGGCCGCCTCTGAAGAGGGTAGGCATTCTTCAAAAGAAACAGAAACAGCAACAGCAGCAGAAGCTGCTGCTACTGCTACTGCTGCTGCAGCAGCAGCAACAACAGACAGTGCTGCTGCTGCTGCTGCTGCACATACACCGCAGCAAGGAGAAGAGGCCCCGCTGCGGAGGCGAAGCACTCGGATATCTGATTTGGCGTCTTCTAGCAAACGAGTTTTGTTTAATTTAAAGAAGAACAAAGTCGTTGGTGAGTTGTTGCTGTTGTTTTTGCGTTATCTCCCTTCGCTGCCGCAGCACCTGTGCTGCTGGTACTGACTCCCCGTAGCAGCAACAGCAGCATTAGCAGCAGCAGCAGTAATAGCAACACCAATGGCAGCAGCAGCAACAGCAGTAGCAGCAGCAGCAACAGCAACAGCAGGAACAGCAGCGACAGCAAAAGCAACAGCAGCAACAGCAGCAGCAGCATGAGCAACAGCAGTAACCATTCCATGCCATTTAATTATCTTTTTGTGTTTTCTTTTTGTGTGTTAACTGCACTCAGCATTTTCAAGGCATGCGCCCTCCGTAGCTGTAGGCCCCGCTTCGTCTTCTCCTACAAAGGGCGCATCTCTAGCTGCAGCAACAGGTTCTGCTGCTGCTGCTACTGCTGCTGCTGCTGGTGCTGCTGGTGGGGGGGCCCCCAGGGGGCCCCCCAGGGGCATTTTGAGGGCAGCGAAGGAGCCTGGGCCCCCCACAAGTGCAGAGATGGCGCCGATGCCTCCTATTCAGAAGTTGCAGCGCCCTCCTTGGTTTCGCGGGAGTACAGCTGAGCTTCTTGCTGCTTTACAAAGGGCATTAGCAGCGCAGCTAAGCAGCAGCAATGAGGGAGGGAGTAGTAAGGGAGTACGCACGAAGAAGAAAGCAAAAAAAACGGTGCAGAGCAAACCCAAACATAAAAAGAAAATCCATAGTTTCAGCAGCACGAAGTGCTCCGCTGTACATACACTGCAGTAGAGACAGCTGCATGCGTTCAACTATATATAAATATGTATATATATATATATACATATATATATATATATATATATGCCCTCAACTCATCTCCTAATTTGTTTTTGTCGGCAGTCGTTTAATCAGATAAAGCTGCAGCAAATCTTTCTGCATTATTTGGCTTAGCTAAGCTGAGGTGTACATAGGCCCCAAAAGGGAAAGCACTTGTTTTTTACTCTCTCGCTTCAGTTTTGTTTTTGTTCAACTGACTAACAAAAGCAGCAGCTGCTGCAAAACCGATGCTGAGGTGTATGTACACCGCAGCAGGAGGGCGATTCTGTAGGCATGCAGTCGCATCATATTTAATTAATTAAAAGAAATAATCTTTTCTTCTTGCAATAGGCTTAGAGGGATTCTTGTGTTTTGTTTTGCTTTGAGTTTGTTGTTGTATATCTCGGCGTGTGCACAACAAAAAAATAAAATTTGTTTTTCTCTGCAAAACAACGAACAGCAGAAAGAAAAAAGAAAGGCAGGGAAAAACAAAAATTTCTTCAGTGTACACTCAGCGATGCTGTGGTGTAATACTTTAAAAATGTCTCCTTCTTCTCTGTATATACTCAAGGAAATGCATATATATATATATATATATATATATATATTCCTAGATTTCTTTCTTCAGTTTAATGAAGCGTTTGTTGTTTCTGCGGGTAAGAGCATAGCCAGTTGCCCTTTTTATTAATAAAACAACATTTGTGGAAATGCTTATAAAACAGCATCACTGTGAGAGCAATAACCTTGGGTATTATTATTTATAAGTCTGCACCAACACTGTTCCTAATGCGTTTATCTTGTAAATACAAACAAAAGGTTTAGTACTGACGACATTGTGAATTGTTTTTTCAAGTGCTACTGAGGCATTTCAAATTGTTATTGAATAGATAACAAGTCTAATGCAGCGAAAGTATGGGGAGCCGCAACATTCTCGTCTCCTCTTCAGTAGCCAAACTCGCCTCTAAGCTGCTATACTTTTTCTTTTTGTATTCTATTTAAAACTTCCAACTGCAACCGAGCGGCGCTTATTAGTTGGCTTGAAATTCATACAGCTGATAGGGGCGCCGAGCTACACAGGAGAACGCCACTGTTACCGCACCATTTGTCCTGCCTTCTCACTGAGAAAGGAAGGATAATAATAAGAAATAAGCAAATAATAAATAATAATACATTAAAAATTGAATATAGATGTGGAAATCAATCAACTTAGGATCGCCACACAACATCATCGCCTAGAGGGAGTAGCGAGCTGCAGGTAGATGCTTAGTGAAATTTCGTGGGAAAAAGTGCATATTTTGTTTGCATAAATTACTACTTTCTTTAATTACACATATTTCACATTTGAAAAAAAGAAGAGGCAAGTACTGCATGGCTTAGGCGTTCAATGTTGCTGCTCCCGCACACACCTGTGGTTCGAGGCAGTGTCGCTGATCTGTGCCTTGTAGGGGTTTTCTTTCGCTGATCTTGCTAAAAATAAATTAAAATATTACTTTTATATTTATATTCTATATTTATTTCTCTAAAATTCTCCTTCTTTTCTTTCAAAAAGGACCGCTTGCCGCTGAACTGCTTGCCGCCACTTCTTCCGGTGTACGTACGGCGCCCGCTATTTCATGAGGCCCTTCAGGCTTGAGCGGTCCACTTGGGGTGTGTTGAAATTGTTGGTTTTTTTATAGTAAAAGTTTGTTGATTTGCATTTTTACTTCATTAATTTCCTGATTTATGCATTCAAAGGCCTTTGCAGTATCTGCGCGCCTCCGACTCCAGCTCCCTCCCCCACGGTGGGTGATGGCAGAGTTGAAATTGAATTTCAAAAGTTTTTGTATTTCTGCATTTTCCGCTATTTCCCGATCATTTCCTGATTAATATTTTGCTTATTTTGCAAAAATGACTTCAGCTGAGCCCTGGGCAGCAGCTACAGCTGCTGCGGGAGCTCCCCAACAGAACATTCTTTCAACAGCACAAAGTCCAGACAGTTTGTTTCAGCCTCTTCAGACGCAGAGCGTTCCTGCTGAATCTTTGAATTCAATTGGGCCATACAGGAATAACTGGCTTGGGTTACGTGCTGCAACTGAGGTCCCTGAACAGAAGAAGGAAGACTGGGCTCCTAACACACCTCCGCAACTTGTAGTTTCAATCATCAGTCAATTGCTGAAGCTGCTGCCAGACAACTCAAAGTCCAACCCCAACACGCATGCAAACGAAGAGGCAGCAAGCGGCAGCTTTAAGAGCGACAGCAGCATTGGGGCTACCTCCGTCTCCCCTCAATCTTTTGCTGCTTCCTCTGGTGGTGCTGCATGCAGCACAACTGTAAGCATGAGCAACCCGCTAGACTCGTCTCCATTCAAGCCCCAAATGCAGTCGCATGCGGCTGCACTATTTTTGTCTCAGCCGCATTTCAATCCGTTTTCCTCTGCTGCTGCAGGAGCAGCAGCAACACCAGCAGGAGCAGCAGCTTCTGCTGCAACAGTTAAGATTGCATATGCTGAGTGCCCTTGTGTCTTCGTTGTTCAATCAGCAGATTACCAGCCGTACGTTCAAATAAGAAGAAGCTCTCAGCCTGCTATTCATATATACACACGCTCTCCTCTAACCATTGAGGACCAGTTTGATGCTACAGCACAGCAGCAGCAGCAGCAGCAGCAGCAGCAGCAGGTTAGAGTGCTGCCTCCAGGGGAGCATGCAGCAGCAGCAGCAGCAGCAGCAGCAATGGAGTACGAGGGTTTAGAAAGCCCTTATTCAAACCCGTCTCAACCTACAATATTTATTCATCATGACAATTCTTTTAAAGAAAAACATCAATGGAAGCCGCGCATCTGTATAGACACCACAACTTTCTGGTGGCCGAGCGTTCAATGTACTTTCCTCTCCCCCAATCAAAACAATTTATTTAGAAATAATCCTTTTGCAAACTATTTAAATGACGACTCTTCATTTAATGCTTGGGGGAGATGCTTCAAAGAAGAGCACTCAGCAGGCGTCAGCGTCTCGGGGCCCCTCAAACCCTTAACTATAGACCTCCCATACTAACCGCTATATATAAATATAAATATATATATCAATATATATATATATATATATTTATATTTATATTTGTAAATCTGTGTATATATATTATATGCACTTGAATAAATGCATGTTTACGTATGTATGTAAATATATATATATATATATATATATATATTTGTATATATGTATTGTGTATTTATAATAGTGTATATAAAAATATATATTTTACATATACGTATGTACATATATATTATACATATTGTATATGTAGGGTATGTGTGTTTATTGATATATGCATATAATATAAGTGCATTATTATATGCATTTATATAGGAAGTATATAGTGTATTTGTTTATTCGTGTGTATGGGTTTAGAGTTTATTCATAATTAAAATATTTTCCTTCCGTCTGTGTTGTCTTTTATTTAGTTTTATGCATTTCTCTTCAAATAGACGAACCGTTGCTTCCTGTTCTTAATTATATATTTTATATATTATTATTATTACTTGTGTATATTGTTATTGTCGTTGTTTATATTATTACTACTATTTATATTATTATTTTAATGTCTTCCTTGTTGCTTTCTCTATTTTACTTTTCACGGTTTCTATGCCTTGTTCCGTCTTCACTGCCTATTATATGCATATATATATATATATATATATATACTTATTGTATAATCTATTATATATAATGTATAATATA